CTTTCCTCCTCCCTGAGAGTTCCCTGCACTGTCCCCAGAGAAACTCCTCTTTGCTTAACCTCTCTTTGTTGATGGCTTGAACCTCGGTTATGATTTGCTTAATGGCTAACAATCTTTTAAGTGATTACACGCCATATTTTTTCTGGGTTCCCTCATTAAGATGATTCTTTCTAGTTCTATCCATCTACCTGCAAATTTCATAATGTTATTTTTTTAACAGCTGAGTAGTACTCCATTGTGTAAATGTACCATAGTTTCTTTATTCATTCATCTGTGAAGGGACATCTAGGTTACTTCCCATTTTAGGCTATTATCATTGAAGCCATAATGAACATGGTTGAGCAAGTGTTCTTGTGGTAAAATGGAATGTCCTTTGGGTATCTTTCCAAGAGTTGTATAACTGGATATTGAGGTAGGTTCTATCCCAGTTTTCTGAAGATCTGCTATAATGATTTCCATAGTGTCTATAAAAAGTTGCACTTCCACGAGCAATAGAAGAGTGTTCCTCTGGTTCCACATTCTTGTCAACATAAGCTATCATGTATGTTATTGATCTTGGGCATTCTGTCAGGTATGAGATGGAATTTCAAAGTAGTTTTTTTTCTTTTTTTATTGAGCTCTACATTTTTCTCTGCTTCCCTCCTGCCTCTCCCTTTTCTTCCTTCAACCCTCCTCCAAAGTCCCCATGCTCCCAATTTACTTAGGAGATCTTGTCTTTTTCTACTTCCCAGGTAGATTAGATCTATGTAAATCTCTCTTAGTGTACTGATTGTTGTCTTAAGTTCTCTGGAATTGTGGTTTGTAGGCTGGTTTTCTTTGCTTTATGTTTAAAAACCACCTATGAGTGAGTTTTTGTTTGCATTTCCTTGATGACTGAAAATGTTGAATAATTTTTTAAGTGTTTCTCAGCCATTTGAGATTTCTCTGTTGTATATTCTGTTTATAACTGTGCTCCCATTTAAAAATTGGATTATTTGTTTTCTGATATCCAGTTTCTTGAGTTCTTTATATATTTTTGATGTTACTCCTCTACTGGATGTGGAGTTGGTCAACATCTTTTCTTATTCTGTAGGCTGTTGTTTTGTCAGATTGACAATGTCATTTGCCCTGCAGAAGCTTTTCAGTTCAATGAGATCCCCTTTATTGTTTATGTTAGTGCCTGTGCTATCCATGTTCTACTGAGAAAGTTTTCTTCTGCTCCAATGAGTTCAAAATTCTTCCCCATTTTCTCTTCTCTTCTATTAGGTTCAGTGTATCTGATTTCATGTTGGTGTCTTTGATCTACTTGGACTTGAGTTTTGTAGAGGGTACTAAGTATGAAGCTATTAGCATTCTTCTACATGCAGATATTCAGACATCCAGCTCCATTTGTTGAAGATGTTTTCTCTTTTCCATTGTGTTTTTCTGACTTCTTTGTAAAAATCCGGATGTCTAATGGTGTGTGAATTTATGTTTGGGGCATCAGTCCAATTCCATCAATCTACTTGTATGTTTTTATGCCAACACTAGTTGTCTTTTGTTTTGATTTGATTTTTTAATTAACATAGGCATTTAGTGCTGTGACTTTTCTTCTTAATCCTACTTTCATTTCAACCCACAAATTTGGGTATGCAGTGTAATCATTTTCATTGAATTCTAGAAGTCTTTAATTTCTTTATTTCTGCCTTGACCTACTTTTCATTCCATAGAGATTTGTTCAGTTTCAGTGAGTTTGTAAGATTTCTATTGCTTCTGTTGTTGATGATATCCAGCTTTAATCCATTGTGGTCTGATAAGATACAGGGATTTACTTCAGTTTTCTTGTACCTGTTGAGACTTACTTTGAATCTAAATATGTGTCAACTTTGTACAAAGTTCCATGAAATGCAGAGGAAAAGGTATATTCTTTAATATTTGGGTAAAATATTCTGTAAATAATTGTTACAATTTTTTATAACACATTAGGTTTAGCATTTCTCTGCTTAATTTTTTCTGGAGGACTTGTCCCTTGATGACATTGGGGTATTGAAGTCTTCCACTGTGAGTGTGTGAGGGTCAATAAGTGATTTAAACTGCAATGGTATTTCTTTTACAAACTTGGGTGTTTTTGTATTTAGGACATAGATGTTAAGAATTGAAAGCTCATTCTGGTGGATTTTTCCTTTGATGAGAATGTAATGTCTTCTCCTATCTCTTTTGATTCATTTTGTTTTGATGTTTATAATGTTAGACTTTGAAATGACTACACCAGCTTGATTCTTAGGTCCATTCACTTAGAATATTTTTCCAGCCCTTATCCTGCAGTTATGTTTATTCTTCAAGTTGAGTTATATTTCTAGGATGCAGCAGGATGGATCACGTTTTCACAACCATTCAATGCTTTTTTGTCTTTTCTTTTCAGTCCTTTTATAATTAATGAATCAATTCTTTAAACTTATTTTCCATTCCAACCACAGTTCTCCTTCCCACTTCTCCTCCTGCCCTCTTCTACCTCCCCCCACAACAACTCCCCATCCACTTCTCTCAACGGGTAGGGGCTTCCAATGGGGAGTGAACAAAGTCTGGCTCATTAAGTTGGGCAGGACCAAGTCCATTCCCCCGCATTAAGTCTGAGTATGGCACCCCACTCAGAGGGAATGGGCTCCAACAGGCTAGCTTATGCAGCAGGGATAGATCCTGGTTCTACTGCCAGGGACTCTCAGAATTGAGATCATTGATACCAAGGGAGGGTGATGATGGTGGTGGTGATATATGTGTGTGTTTCCCTTCTTTTCATCTTGCTGGTGTGAGGTATTATGTATTTCCTGTGTTGTCATGGATGTAGTTAGCCTTTTAGATTAAAGTTTTGCTTCTACCACCTTCTTTTGGGCTAGATTTGTGAAAAGACTGTGTTTAAATTTAGCTGCAGCATAAAGTATTTTATTTTCTTCATTGATGTTGGTTGAAAATTTTGCTGCATTTAGTATATCTGGGCTGACATCTGTAGTTTCTTAGAGACTGCAACATGTTTTTCCAGGTTTTTCTGGCTTTTAGAGTTTCCATTGAGAAGTCAGGTGAAATTCTAATAGGTCTGCCTTTATATGTTATTTGGTCTTTTCCCCTTGCAGCTTTTAGTCTTCTTTCTTTGTTCTGTATGTTTGGTGTTTTGATTATTATGTGCCAGAGGTCCTTTCTTTTCTTGTCCAAGCTAGTTGGTGTTCTGTTTGCTTCTCATACCTTTACCGGTGTGTCATTCTTTAGGTTAGGGAAATTTCTTTTATGATTTTGTTGAAAATGTTTTCTGGACTTCTGAACTGGGATTCTTCATATCCTCTATTCCTAATATTCTTAGATTTGGTCTTTTCATGATGTCTCAGATTTTCTTAATACTTCGTGTCAAGAGTTTTTTAGACTTAGCATTTTCCTTGACTGATGTATCCATTTCTTCTGTTGCATCTTCAGGGCCAGAAGAGTATCTCTTCTGTCTCTTGTATGCTGTTGGTGAAGCTTTCCCCTGTAGCTTCCATTTAAATTTCTAAATTTTTAATTTCCAGAATTCCCTTTATTTGTGTTTTCTTTATTAATTCTATTTTCATTTTCAGGTCTTGAACAGTTTTATTCATTTCTTTCAACTCTTTGTTTCTGCTTTGTTGGGTTTCTTTAAGTGAATTATTCATTTCCTCCAGTTTTTTTTTTCCTCTGTGTTTCCCTGAAACTCTTTGAGGATTAATTTATTCATTATTTCACATGGTTTGTTTGTGCTTTTCTGGATTTCTTTAAGGTAATTATTAATTTCCTCTTTAAGGACCTCTGAAGCCACAAAACAATCCTCCACCAGTTAAGAATTATGGATAATAAAAGGGGTTATTTATTTAAGGGAAAAAACTTACAGATCACCATCCCAAACAGTCTTCTCCTCAAAAACAGGAAACAGAGAGTCTAGACCCCAGAAAGGAAGCCAGAAGCAAGAGAGAGAGTGCCCAGTTCCTGCTGCTTTTTAAAGTATAAGAGACCACTCCCCATTAGGCTGGTATCTTAAAAGCTATTGGCTGAAGGAGTGGAAGGAGCTCCCGCAGCAGACCTCTATTACCTTTATAAACTTGGTTATAGGTTCTTTTTTCTTGTGTTTCAGCTATATTGGCATATTTAGGGCCTGCTGTCGTAGGATAGTTGAACTCTAGTAGAGACCTATCGCCCTGACTGTTACTGTGTTTAATATTGGCGTCTGCACATCTATGTTCGGTATGATTATAGGTCTAGCTGGTGTTATCTGTATTTGTCTTTGTTGAGTTATTTTGTTTCTTGGTTTCCGTTTCCTCCTTTGATTTTCAGAGAGTGTGATGGCTGTGTGTTACTTGTTTTTCTGGTCTGCTCAGGTGGTGTTTTTGCAGGGAATGTCTGCTGATGTTGGAGGCTGGGACACTGAGACAAATTTGGGGAAGGAAGGTTGGAAGAGAAGGTCTCTGTGATTTCTTAGGAATGGGTTCAGAGAGGAAAGGAAGACCTAATCAGATTGTCAGCTGCAGAGTTTGTAATGAAGCTCGGATGTGTATTAAATCTCAGGAGAAGTAAAAGAATTGTGTGTCTGCCTTCTGCTTACTTATTGCCTTAGATGGAGTAGCCCTTGGATTAGCAGGGCATACCTGGTGGGTTTCAGGTCTAGAAACAAGGTAGGAGTTGGCGGGTGGAGGAAAAAAAATGTAAAGGGGAAGATCTGTGGATAATTTGGGAGATGAGAGTGGGCAAGGCTTCCAAAGGTGCTCTGCAGTATATTTGGTTCTCTGCAGTATATTTGGCTCTATCAGCTGGGGGTGAGACTGGGAAATTAGAATTGGAGGAGTAGAAAGAGAAAAGGTCAGGTGTCAGGGCAGGGGGCAGCCTTATCTTGCCTTATCCATAATATGAGAACAAAGAAATGAGATGCTGAATTTCTTAGTTGCTCATTTTTCTATGACAAGAGAAATATTATTGGGGATTAATAATAGAAAATATTGTTACATTAAAAATGAATGTCTTATGTCTCATGGTGATCCATTTATCAGGTGTTCCAAAATTTCCCAAAGAAAAAATTGAACCCATGGATGTGGAAGAAGGGGATTCCATTGTCCTACCCTGTAACCCTCCCAAAGGCCTCCCACCTTTGCACATCTATTGGATGAATATTGGTAAGTAGTGTTCTGTTCCATCAATCTGGGTCACTTTAGTTCCATGCACTGCGTAAGTAATCATATGTAACAAAACCAATGAAAGAAATCATTCATATAGATTCAAATAGATTTCAAAATTATATACGTTTGAAATTTTATCCTTTCTCCTGAGTATAAACTGGAATGTATATGTGAAGACACTAGAAAATCATTGCATCCCTTGATTTACAGTATTTGAAAGGGGTGGGAGGATATTCATAGGATAGGACAGTCCTGTGATAAACCTTCTTTCCAAAGTCCTTATCTTTGGAACACAGACAAGGTCAGAGTTGAAGTGACTTGGGGTAGTTGCTTGTTAGTATGACAGTTTTAACTTAGTTCTACCTGATAAAATCAATGACCTACAAAACATTCAGTATCATCCTGTGTCCAATCTTTCAAAATGCTTTGGTGGTTCCTGAAGCTTCCCTCTTCTTACAAAGACTGTTATGTCCTATGCTTTCTAATGGCCTTCTGAGTGTTGATGTTACATAGGAAAATCATATTTATAGAGCAGCCCGAGGAGAGTAAGTGAAGCTACACTTGGCTGCAGTCGAGATTTGTAGCCTTCACTCACCCTAGAAGTACACAGCTGCACCCCAGTGCAGAGGGATTAGTGGCTGAAACATCACTTTTCAGAGAAATGTCATCCTGATGAAACAAAAGTAATAATTGATTGTTATTAAAACTCAACAGTTTTCAGATATGCATAGCAAAGTTAGAGATCAATTGGTAATGAGAGAGGGAACATTCAGACTGCTGGTGTATCTGTGAGATTCTCGACCTTCCAAAGATTTCATTGTTACATATTTTTATCTGTTTGCCTGCTCACTGCTCTTTTATTAAGACCAGACTGCAGAAAAATAGGAAGAACAGACAAAGGACATCACAGCCACATATAAATCGTATGAAAGAAAATAGAAATGTAAATGTCTAGTGCACATTATGAGGAGGGGCAGCCCATTTCAGTGGCAAGGTTTTATTTATTTATTTTCCTTGCAGAGTTGGAACACATTGAACAAGATGAAAGAGTATACATGAGCCAAAAGGGAGATCTGTATTTTGCAAACGTGGAAGAAAAAGACAGTCGAAATGATTACTGTTGCTTTGCTGCATTTCCAAAATTAAGGACGATTGTACAAAAAATGCCAATGAAACTAACTGTGAACAGTTGTAAGTCTGAATAATTTATTCTTCCTTTACTTGTGCTGAATGCAAATATGTATACGATTTCATTCTTCTCTCCGAAGGCGTTTAAAGCCGGGTCTGTATTTTCCGTCATTGTTTCATTTAACTCCAGAGACTTCATACAGATGATCAGAACATCTGCAGCTGAAAATCCACAGTAGCTCTGTCTCTGGCAGCCAGAAAATCAAATCTCAATTCACAGTACAAATGTGTTTCATTTGATGTCTGCAGGATCAACTCATTTTCAGTGAGCATAAAGCACATCTCAGGCATGGGCTCACTGTGACCTTGGATAAATCAGCAGGCTGAAAATGAAGGAGACAAAAAATGAGTCAAAAGAAAATCACCATTTATATTTCTTATCTCATCAAGCTTTTTCTTTGTCCTTCTCAAATTGACAAAGTTATCTGAATTGATTTTCTGTTTCCTACTTGGATCTGCAAATGCATGTCCAAGTTCCCAAAAGGGGAGAAGTAATTAGTGAGAGATGAAGTGGTAAGATTCAAAGGCAGAGAATAACCCCAGCAGCTTCCTGGCTGAGTAATTGGCTCTGGAGGAGCAGAAGGTTGGCATGACCACTTCATTGTCTAATTTGGTCCAAGATTATTCCATTATCTTATGTATATATGATATGTGGGGTCTTCTCTGTGATGCTTTTCAGTAGCCTGAAGTCTCTGTGGGAGAATTAACACTTGTCTCTTCACAACTTCAAGTTTAAGCTCCATAAATACACAAACATATATATGTGCATATATGTGTGTATGTACATATATAATGTATATATGTGTATTTTGAGACAGTATGCAAATGGGCATAGCTGTACTTCATTTCATAATTTTCCCTAAATAAATGCATGACTTTGACTTTTCATACTTTATTGATGTCAGCATCGAACATTCTGTTTGTATTAGTTTCTTCCATTTTTTTTTATTTCAGTAAAGCATGCTAATGATTCAAGTTCATCCACAGAAATTAGTCCCAAGGGTAAGTCATTCATGTGAAGCATTTTTGCTTTTATTTTTGCCTTTAGTTATTCATTGTCATTTCAGTTTGAATTTTTTCTTTATTTACTCAAAGAGTTTTCTAGAAGCAATGCTAATATTTCTATAAAGTAACTCTTTAGTATAGAAAGTTCTGTAGTTCACTGTGCTTTAGAATTTAGGAAAGGGATATATGTGTGTGTGTGTGTGTGTGTGTGTGTATGTGTTTATGTGTGTGTGTAGTTATATATGTGTGTTTTATCTTTACAAGTAACTTATAATTATATATTATTAACATATACATTTGTATATATAGTTTTAGGTATAGATATAATATATATATTTATGTGTGCATAAATATGTATATAAAATGGTGTATAACTTTGGATCTTTTAAGAGCTCACAAAAGTCAAGGAAGGTTGATAACTTTACAAAAGGAAATAAAAATAAATGGTTAATATCAAGAAAAGAAGAGAAATACTGGATTTAGAAAAGTTAAATGAATTAATTTTACTTGTCATACTTATTAGAGAAGTTGATAAACAAACCTCTACATACTCTAATTCTGTGAAGGAATGCAGTTTTCAACATATTTTCAATTCTCTTGTCTATGGAACCTTTTAAATTTTGTTAATATTTTTGTTAAACATCTATCAGAACTAGAATTGTATCTAAGATGCTTGAGTTATAACCTGAATTATATAGTCGAATTGTTTTCTTCATTACAACCACATAGACGAATGAAATAGATACCACTATATAATGTAGACTAGAGGCTTCGCTTAGATTTCTAATATACTGGTGATGTCATCAGAAGTGCATATGGCTCCTCTTGGGGTGCCATTTCAGGAGTTCTGACTCATCCCCAATATCATTCTTTGGCATTAGTAATCTGAATATGTATCCTCAAGCACATAAAAGAATATTGCATATAGTACAAATTCAAAAATGATTTCTAAGGAAATGCAAAGTAGACTGCACAGGGCTCATTATATCTTCTGATAGAAGGTCAGTCAGTATTTATTGTCTTTCCACAAAAGATAAAGGCACATTGGCAATGACTATGAAAAACAATTTATGTTCACATTTGGAAGCGATATCAAAATGTAGTGTAAATGAAGTATCCTAATTTACTTTTTTTTTTTTTTGACCATTCAGAATAAGCTTTATTAGGAGAGTTTCAGGACCACAGGAGAGCAGTAAGACAGACAGTACATCATATCAGTGATAGGGTCTTTTTTTAATTTTTTTTTTATTATTAAAAATTTCCACCTCCTTCCCACCTCCCATTTCCCTCCCCCTCCCCTAATCCCCTCCCCCTTCCTCTCCAGTCCAAAGAGCAGTCAGGGTTCCCTGCCCTGTGGGAAGTCCAAGGTCCTCCCCCCTCCATCCAGGTCTAAGAAGGTGAGCATCCAAACAGGCTAGGCTCCCACAAAGCCAGTACATGTGGTAGGATCAAAGCCCAGTGCCATTGTCCTTGGCTTCTCAGTCAGCCCTCATTGTCTGCCATGTTCATAGAGTCCGGTTTGATCCCATGCTTTTTCAGTTCCAGTCCAGCTGGCCTTGGTGAGCTCCCAATAGATCAGCCTTGCCTTCTCAGTGGGTGGGCGCACCCCTTGTAGTTCTGACTTCCTTGCTCATGTTCTCCCTCCTTCAGCTCCTCATTTGGGCCTTGGGAACTCAGTCCAGCGCTCTAATATGGGTCTCTGTCTCTATCTCCATCCATCGCCAGGTGAAGGTTCTATGGTGATATGCAAGATATTCATCAGTATGGCTATAGAAAAGGGCCATTTCAAGCTCCCTCTCCTCAGCTGCCCAAGGAACAAGCTGGGGAATTTACTTTTATATTTTAAAATTACTAAGAAAAAAAAAATAAAACTTTCCAAACTCTACTTAGTGGATACACTTACAATGATTTATTTCTTAAAACAGTATGTATCCTTGAGGATCTGACTAGAAAGAATTTCCTGAAGAGCTAAATAAAAATTTGTTGATGCTTGGTGTCTACTCAAGTCAAGTTTCCTCAGTCTGAATTCTCAATGAAACACTTCAGGAAACTTTTTTGTTTGTTTGTTTGTTTGTTTGTTTTGCAATCTTAGTACTTAGAATAAGAAATTCAATAGACATACATAATCGTCAAAATGGCAAGGTATGGTCAGATTATAGAATACAAAGTCAGACTATAATTAGCTTGAGGGTGTCTTCAAGAAATTGTCTTGAATAAGTATTCAATTTCTGAACAGAAACTTGTAGTATACATTGTGAAGATTTTAAAAAATTAGTAAAGAAATTGAGAGACACATGCTTACTTGGATACTTTTTGAATGAGAGAATGTATTTAAGAAGAAGCACACCAATATGTACACTTAAAACAATGTGAAGTCATGCTTTAAGAACAAACTAGAACCATAGAATTTTACTACATTTGTTATAGAGAGAATTGACTCTTCAATTTTTTCTTTTCCAGCAAATTCAATCAAACAAAGGAAACCCAAACTTCTGTTGCCTCCTGCTCAGAGAGGCAGTTCATCCACAATGATTGTCCTCAAAGGGGATACCCTGTTGCTTGAGTGTTTTGCAGAAGGCCTGTGAGTACCCTGGCCTCTGCCAGCCCTCTTCCATATAGTGTTTTAAAGACTGCAAAACAAAGACCTTTGCTGCATGCCTGTTCTTAAGTTACTACTTTTAAAAATATAAACCCTCTTCCTGTTTCTCTGGGGAAACAAATTTTTGCTTCCTTATACAAACTTCAGGCTACAGTTGAAATTGACTTATAAGTACCCTTTTTTATGATGGGATGCAGGGATCAAAAAAAAAAAAACGTTCGTGAAGTAGATGCTTTATTGCTGACCTTAGAGTATGTGTATTAGTATTCACCCCATCTGCCCTTAAGCCCTTAAGCCCTGTATTTTCTGTCATCTCTATTCTCTTGCCAGACTCTGGTTTACAGGGGCTAGCTCCACTGTTACAGTACTTGGGGAGGGGTCACAACCTGTGCGCTAAGCCAGGTCCAGCTATTTATCCTCAATAAACCCATTATAAGAGTTAAATTTATAGAGGAAAACAGAAACGAATTCTTCAATGTGCCCATATTTTGAAGAAAGAAAAAGGGATCTGAAGACCCCTCCTGCGTCTGTCTTCTGATCCTGAAGTGATACTCAAGTTTAAATGGAGTTCTAAGGATGTGCACATTGAAGAAATCCCAGCAAGGTGTGGTCCCACATACCACTGACTCATCAGTCATTGTCTGAACTTCAATCTCATCCTGTAATGTGTTACAGCAAGTTGTTAGAACTGTCAGTCTTCCAAGAGAGAGACGTTCCTCCTCTGGCTAGCCTCTTTTCCTTCTCCCAGCATGAGATTCCTGGAGAAATTCCCATTTCTTTGAGGTCCATTGATTCATTGGTTTGAAAGTCTTATTAGAATCTCTTTCATTTCTGCCAGACCATTACACTACTCTCTTTTTTAATTTCCAAAGTCCTCTATTTTTATTTCCCCTTTTGTGTTTTGTGCAAAAGCAGGTCCAGGTCACTAACGTTAGGGGAATAGCACATCAAAAAATGGTTGCCTTCCTCATATTTCCAAGATCCGAGCCCTGTATCAGGTCTTCCACCAAAGTCCTAAGGGTTGACATGTTGTCGTCTCCTAAAATCATTGCCTAAACTGAGCGACGATTGTACATTTATGTGATTGGTGCCATGGTCATGTGAGTTTGCCTGTTTCTACAAGTATTCCCGCTGATGTAAAAGTCTCCCATTATGAATGCTGTAGATAAAGGCATTTCATCTTTCACTTTATTAATTTGAAATTCAAATCATTTTCAAGTAATGAAAATCTCTTTAATCAGCTAGGATTTGAGATATATTAAATTGTGTTACATTAATTAGTTATTGAAAGTAAAAGTGAAAAATAAAATCCACCTTTGTTCATAATTCAGTGTAAAATCTGAATGACTTGTTTCAAGTCAGATTGTGAAGCAAAAGGAACTATTTTAATTATTGTACAACTTCTACAGACTTTGCACATTCTTCTTTCCTTCCAGGTTACTTACAAGCCTTAAGTCCCCAGTGTTGACTGATAAATTATTTCAATATGTTCTCATATGACTTCTATGGAAAATGTTTGGTGTCGGTGTGGCTTTTTAAGGTTTATTTTAATTTTACTTGCATGAGTATTTTGACTGCAAGTCTGTCTGCACACTACATGTGTCCAGTGCCCAGAGAGGAAAGAAAAGACAGTAGTAGTGTTTCAGAGGTGGTGAACCACTACATGGATGCTGGGAATTCAAGCCAGGTCATCTGCCAGGACAGAAGTGCTCCTACCTGCTAAGCCTGTCTCTGGCCCTGCTCTGTGAGAAGGTCAAAGCCCTGCTCTATGAGAAGGTCAAAGCCTTCCCATCTGCTGTAACTTGTGGCTATCCACCTGGTGCCAGCATCTATTTGGTGTGCTAGAAATTAAATGCTTTCAGGCTTTGTCACGGTTCAGGCTAACTCAGAGTCAGGCAAAGCTGTAGAGACTTATACCCCTCATCTCCCGCCAAGCTATCATTTACTTCCTGAGGTGTTTGGCATCTGTTCAGCTCATCCTCCACTCACAGAAACATTACTCCTGGGTGCCTTGTAGAGACTGGAGTGTTGGAAATGCACACATGAAAAGAACATGGATATTTAAAGAGTTGTTTGCCTTTGCAACCTGAAGATCCTTGATACTTGGTCATAGGAAGGGGATCTTCCCCTCTTCACTGGTTTGAGTTGGGCTATTCATTCTGTTTGATCTTCTGAATAAAGATAATATTATTAAAAAGTTTTTGAAGGATATAATATATATCTCAAGGAAGTTTAACATCACATGTATTTGAGAGTAACAAAAGTACAAATCTCTAATCATTGTGGCACATGCATCACACACACACACACACACACACACACATCATACCAAATATTGATATTAATTGAATCAGGGAAGCTTTCAGAGACATACACATTTTGGAAAGCTTAGAGTTTATGGATCCCTGGAGTTGGGGAAGAGTTAAATGATATTTTGACTCTTATTAGGAGAAGACGGTGTTCACAACTTAGTGTTAGTGGGGAAGAACTTGCTGTTTTAATAATTCACATTCACACTGTGTGAAATAAAAGCAGACTCCTCATGAATTTAAAACACATATGATATCTGTGTCTCCTACATGTTTAATCAAGAATCAGAAGAAAAGTTGCCCACATAAGAACTGGCATAAATATTTAAAGTTATGAAATAATGTATGGTGGTGTGCCAAAAAAGTATTAAACAATACTTTTCCCTCAACCTATCCTTGTTCTGATTCTGTCAGCAAATGTTCTTTAAAAATAAAGCCAGCCAACAAAAGAAATCCAGAATTTTCAAGAAGAAAACAGGAATTCTTCTAGCTGTATAAACCATGCTTACTTGTAATATCATGTTGCTCTGATTTAAAATCATTTAATTTGATTGTATGAAGTGAACAGTGTTAGACAGGTGATTCTTTTCAAGAACAGAAGTAAAGGAAGAATTTGAGAAAAATGAGATCCTGCATTGCTAAAACATAGACTCATGAAAATTTGTTTGGGAGGAACTGTGGTCTAGGGCAGTCTGTCACTTGGCAGATTGCCATTTTGACAGATGGTATAAAAAGCAAGCAGGTAGGAAACTTGGACTCTGAGTACTGCTTGGTGGTATGATCTCTAGAATTCAACAACTAACCAATAGACTCCCACATGTATCTATCTGTCTGCAATGACCATTTCCTGAGGAAATCTGCCATGTGCTACGTACGTGGTCAAAAAGTGAGTTGTTGTTTCAAGCCTGTGGGGTTAATTTCTTTGGCCTTGAGAGAAGAAAATACCAGATGTTTGTAGAAAGAACACCATCTTTACCTCCAATGTAGTGTTCCTAATAATTGAGTTATTTTATCCATTTTCTTTGTGAACAAGTAATTTAAAATAACCAAAACAATTTGAAACAATAATCATTGGGGCTTGAGATATAGTTAAGTAGTTAAGATCACTGGCTTTTCTTACCGATGACCTGATTTAATTCCCAGGATTCACATGGTCATTCACAATTATCTGTAGCTCCTGGTCTAGTAGATCCAATGCCCTCTTCTGGCTCCCATGGTCACCGGATGTGTATGTAGTGCACATACATACATGCAGACAAAACAGAAGCATAAAATTATAATAAATAAATCTTGGAAATTATTATTTATTTGGTGCTACAAACATATGTTAAGAAGGAAGAATTTCTTTGAAAAGCAGAAATCAAATAGAAATAACCAAGAAAAATGTTAGCTTTGAATCTGATAAATGTTAGTTGCTTAGCTTCTTGGCACTTCTCTTTGATGCTGATAAAATGATAGAAGTAAGACAGCTCACCCTTAGAGAGTTCTCAGAGCAGTAACTAGTAACCAGGAATAAGGCAAATAACAGAATTAGGTGTTTTCCAATCTTGTAGAAGGAAAAAACAAAGTTGTACCCACTTATATTTGGTTATCAGTGACATTTTAAAGTCAAGGTCTCATAGAATGTCACTTTTCCATCCTTCATTTTTAGAAGAGATCATTCCACAAACTGCTTGGCTTGGCCCGTGCTCCTGTTTCCCTTCATTGTAAGAGAGAGAAAGGTGTTGGCATGTGACAAGGTTATCCCTGTCTTTTGTTTGGCTTGTGTTTGTTTTGATCTACTGTGCCCATCTCCCCAATGCTTCTGAATTAGGGAGATTCCGAGTTCTTGTCTCCTTCCCTCTGTTCCCCTCAGAGCAGGAAAGCAAGGTCTGTGCTGTTCCCTCCAAGCTGCCAAGAATGAAAGAACTGATCCTCCATCCAGCCCACGCATTTGGCTCCACTCCCAACCACTTTCGCCAAAATTGGCTTCATTAGGATTCAAGGGGAAATTGTGGTTTTCCTTTGCTGGCTGTTGGAGACTATTGTGCCATGTTGTTGAGAGTCACACAGGGAAGGGGAATCTCTTGATGCCCGACCATAGGGAGAATGTCACACTTGAGAAGTGTCTTCAGTTATTCGTTTCATATCCAGCTTCATTGCTTCAGCACTCAGGTGGAGTTAGCTCACTTAAGAGCAGGGATGAGATTACTAGGGAGTCGTCCACTAAGGGAGCTTCTGATGAAACATGCCTGTTCAACGCCCTGCTTCCCATATTGGTGCGTCCTCTAGTGAAGCTGATAAGACACAGTGATTATGTAAGGCAACACAGTTATAGGTGTGCCCTGAGGAATTGTTTGTAGTTGGTATTTACTTATCTGTGCATTTATTTTACTTCTTGCAGACCAACTCCACAGGTTGAGTGGAGCAAACTGGGTAGCGAATTACCAAAGGGAAGAGAAACAAAAGAAAATTATGGGAAGACTTTGAAGATAGAAAACATCTCCTACCACGACAAAGGAAATTATCGCTGTATAGCTAACAACTTCTTGGGGAAAGCCAGTCATGATTTTCATATCATAGTACAAGGTATGTTCTCCATTAAGATTTAAATTTCTGCTTCGAAGAGATGAATAAGTGTACACAATTCACAGACCTTTCCCTCAACAGTTTATGGATTAAAGTTGATCATTAGTTTAGGGTTTTAGTTGTAGTGTGGGCACTGATTATCGCTATACTTAATTAATCAGGCTTATAATTTATCTCCACAAACCGTATGGAAGGCACAAATGTTAAGTAGAGAGCTAATGTTAGGGGCTGAACATACATTACTTCCACGGTCTGTTTAAACGGTCATTAAATCTACCCTCTTGTAAGTTTTTATTGCATGGAATAATTTTTATTATAATGTGCACATGATGCTCATAAATGAGGTCATGATCATGAAGTCAAATATTATAGAAAGGACCCTGGAAGGTGGTTTGGACTGCTTCCTAATCTTGTCACTCAGCCCCCTTGCCCATGATCACTGAGCTCCATTTATCTATTCCTCAAGTTCTTTGTCAAAGAAATGATGACTGTAGATGAATTGTCTTTGTGTTATCCTTATTCCAGCATTTTGCATGTGTACCCTGGTATTCAGTATATCACTTCCAGAGAAATATAAAGAGACAAATGCAAATACTAATTGTTTATCAAATAGTACCAAAATGCATTGCTTTCATCTTCTGCACATAAATAACTGAACTATTTATTGAATAATTGAGATTTTCTGTTATTTGTTGTAATTAAGAATAAGTAGGGGATGATGACATCATTCTCATGAAGTAACCATAGAAATTAGAAATCCAGGCCTGCCTGTGGTGCAGGAGCAGAGGCTGCATGATCCTGCTGTGATTTGATTAACACCGACTGCTTCCCGTGGGTGGGGTCACACCTAGGGTTTCCCTCTGTGGTTTCCTGAACTGAATTGATCAGAGGAATGGAGTAGACACGACACTGTAATTTTGTACTTATTTAGTGCTGTGTTGGCTTACGTAAGGAAGAAAATCATCTCTGCCAGGCTATCTGTTTGTGAACTGTAACTTCCAGGTTTCCATTAATGCTCTGATAAAGTTCACCCTTTAAAGCTTCGTTTTAAAGTTCAAGGAGCACGTCACTAATGGTCTTTTCCCCCTAATTACTGGAAAAGCAGAGACTAAGCACAGATTCCACTCACAAGCAAATGTTACAATCATTGACCGAGCCATGCATCTGTTTGGACTAACACAATTTGCTAACACCTATACTGTTTTCTTAGTTAAGGTGAGAAAAAGAAAAATAAAAAATAAAAATAATAAAAAAGGAAATTATTTATTTATTTTTGGTACAATGGAGGAAAACCTGTATAGGAGAGAACCTAGAGTTAAACATTAACATCAACATCTGTCCACAATAATAGATGTCTCTGACAATAAATTATTCAGAAAGATACTCAGCAAAAGTATGAAAAACATGCCCATACATTTAAGGATGTTTTGACACTGTATATAAGGTGACACTGTATATAATGTGGTGATATCTTGTAATGGGGCTATTCCCTAGCCCCTAGTCCTTCTATGGTTCTCTCTCTCTCTCTCTCTCTCTCTCTCTCTCTACCTCTCTCTCTCTCCTCTCTCTCAAACAAGACATACATAATTATTAGCTGCTCTACTCTGAGTTGCTGACTGTTAGAAATCCTTCCAGATGGCTGCTGCGTTGCTACGGTAGCTGAATATTTTAACAATCTGGCCTCAGTTTTCTTGACTATTAAGACCAAAGCTTTCAAAAGAATTGCAAATGTTGCAAAAAATATCATACCAGCAAAATTAATTATACAACTTAAAAGGTTGACTATATATATAGGGTTCTTGAACAAATTAACTTCACTATTTTAAAAACAGTTATTAGTGATGCTGAGTTGTAAATATTGTTTTTATGAGGAATATTGAATCATTATGCTTTTGTGTGAAAATACTAAATGTACACTCAGACGCCTGTTTCAGCTTCTCCTTATACCTGCATGGGAACAGTGAACCGTCTTCAAGAAGAATGTTCTAGAAGTACTTTCTGCCCTAAAGCAAGAAAACAGTAACTATAATGTACACGAATCATCAAGGGAGACGAGTTCACCTTTATTACATTTTCTGTTGTCTCTTTTCTCTGCATCTTTCTTTTCATTCTTTTATTTAGAAACCCAAATTAAATCAGGACTGTCATGGGGGGAAGCAGTACTACCGTCTACTTGGAGGCTCCAGCCCATTTTGACAATGTCTTGTGTGGCTATCAGAAGCATAGTTTTTCTTTTCTGTTTGTGATTTTTTTTCCCCTGGTCTGAAACTCAAATTCTGTGAGCTTGTACTTTAAACTACAGCAGTCTAAATATGTAATCAGATTGCAAGTCAAATGCCTTCTTTTGCATGAGAAAAACAGCTGTGATGTCCTAATTAGATGTCACCATATTTTCCGGGAACCTACAATGTGGATTATGGCTATGCAATAGCAATAGGTGTAATAAGGGCCTGTGAAATGGCCCAGTGAGTAAAGAGGATTGCAGCAAACCTGAATTATGTCTCAGGATGGTACACAAAGATGAAAGGAGAGAATTGACTCTATACAGCTGTCTGTCACAGGTACACTGTTGTGTGAACACACACTCAAATAATAATAATAATAATAATAATAATAAAAATAATAATAATAATAATAATAAAGAAAAAGATACATAGGAATGTCACATGACATTATGTTGCCCACTATGGAATCGTTTGAGACTGTTGAATTTTAGAAATATAACATGAATCATTTTTGCACATCTGTTCAATCCTTAATTCTATCCAAAGTGCCCTGCAATGTCTATATGATGCCATGAACTGAAACTCAGTCCAGTCATTGATACCATGAACAATAGCTTATTTTGAATTAACAATTTTCTTTCATAAGAAGTTGGTGGAATGCTTACCTAATGGACACAAAGCCCTTGGTTCAATCCCAAGCACACATAAATTGGCGCTGGTGGTGCACCCCTATGTTCCCAGCACTTGGGATGTAAAGGCAAGAGAATCAACAGCTAAAGGTCATCCTTAGCAAACAGAGGCCTACTTGGTATACACAAGACATTGTCCCATGAAAATCAAGAATATAAATATCAAGTAGACAACTGTGATTAAAAGTTTTACTAAGAAAATGTCTACTATATTACTTGTTTCACAGATATCAAGTTTCCAGTTTTGTTTGTTGGTTGGTCTCATGATAAACATTGTTACTTTCTCAAAATCTTGTCAGAATTCTAGCATTGGCATCTCTGTTTTGGACACCATAAACTGAGTTTATCATTTTGTATTGTTTTACAATCATGACAAACTGGGTGCACTTTTTATCAGCTACCACATATCTCAGGCATGTGAACAAAAGAATGGGATCCTGTGGCTTCTTCCCCCAAATGTCAGGTTTACCTGTCATTTCCTTTGTGTTTCGTCTCTCCTGTCATCGCCTTGAGTAGATCTTACCCATCCCACTGGTGTGTGATTTGAGTTTCGGTAAACTTCTGCTGGTCCTCTGGCCTTGTATCTCAGCTACCCTGAGTTTCTAATCAAGCTACAGGCCGACAATAATGTCTTTTGTGAAGCAAGTAGTAGTATGTTAATTAAATCTATGTCATGGAAGAGTGAATGACCAGACAGCAAGGATTATTTTCCACCTAAGGGACTTTAGGGTTTTTTTTTTTTTCTTATGTCTTTTCCACAGAAGTCTTTAGATATTTATCAAGTTCTACTTAAAAGCTCACCCTACACATCTTTTCTTAGCGAGACATTGTGCCAAATCAGGAAGAAACAAAACAGCAAGCTTCAGCCCTGGTTCTCCAGAGGTCACCAGTCTGAGGACAATCACTGCTGACATCAGTACCGAACTACTGAATATTCCACCAGTGAAGTCAACAGTGAGAGTCTCAGCCTAGTCTGGATGTCAAGCAGTCATAGATGTTTTAAATCTTAAGTTTCATGCCAATGTTTACATCTGTTTGAACCAGTAGCTTAAGGGAAAAAAAGAGAGAGAAACTTCTACAGAAATGTGGAAGTGTTTTTAAATCCTATGAAGAATGGGCCAGGTTAATGTATAGTAACGATTCTAACCAACTACGAAATGTTTGAAACCTCCTGAGTGAGTTGATAGATATGGGGTTGGCGACAAGGTGGTAATGCAAAGACTCATCTGGACCACTGAACTGATCTTGATTCCTAGTTATATATGTAGGATAGCAGTGGATAAGAACCTGCCTCAAGAGCTTCCCCTCTCTCTGCTTTCCCCAGAGGCTTTGTTCTGAGATCTATGACGTGGCAGGAACAGGAAATTAAGAATCTTTCATTGATGACCCTGAAAAAAAATTAGATGAATTCTCCAAAGCTCAGCATTATTTCCTTAAGGTCAAAGGTTAGATGAGGTTATGCCTCACCTCTTTATTTGATCCTAACAGTAATATATCTTTACACACACACACAAAGGTTATTGAAATTCTTAGGATGAGGCTAGTGATTAGAAAATTGATATTTATTATACAGTGGGAATGGAAGAATATTTTCATTATTTTTATTTTTACACACTTGTAAAGGAAAAGTCATCATTTCTACTATGAACACAATGGCTTGCATGTTCTTCAGGCTTTGCCTGTAACTTGCACATGTTGAAATTTGTTATTGTTATATAAAAGGAGCAAGAAAAAATTAAAAGGAAAGAGCCTAGAAAGATTTCTCAATGGTCAGGAACTCATGATGCCCTTCCAGAGGAACTAAGTTTGGTTTCCAACATGCATGTTGAACTGACATTCACCAATATCCATACACCCTACACATAAATAAAAATCTTAAAAATAATAATGTCATCAAGGCACTCTTCCCTTCAGAAGTGACCTACAGTTCTAATTTAGTCCATTGTACTTTGTGCTAAATGCCTCAATATTTGTAGATATATATTTGTTAAAAACAGATGTTTAACATGGAAATTAACAGTTGAGCCCACATCCTGTGAGGAGACTGTAAAGGCATGTCTCTTGCTTACACATAGATCTGCCAAAATTCTTTGTATGCATGTTTTCTTTTTTAGGAATTTGGGTCCCACCCCCCTGTGAAATCCCCTTTCCTTCCTTTACTAAAAAAAAATTTGAAAGATACTTTCCTTTTATACATGTGCATATTTTTAAACAGTTTCCTTTTTGAATCAAGGCAGAAATCCACAGTACTTGGGGGGAAATGACCAAGCTAAAGTCGATGGGAATTACTACATCAAAGTTTTATCAAGCCACTTCTGAGAATAATTATCAACCTTGCACGTAGGTCTGGAGCAATGGCTCAGTATTTAAGTGCAATAGCTTCATTTTCAGTGGTCCCAGAAGTAGGTCCCAGCATCAACATGGTAGCTGACAACTGTCAGTAATTTCAACCAAGGGGTCTGATACCTTCTTCTGGCCTCTATGGGCACCAGGCATCCAAGAAAGTGGTACATAGCCACACATGCAGGCAAAACACCAATAACAACAACAACGACAACAATAATAATAATGATGATGATAATAATCCATGAACACTTCAAGTCTTGTATTCACTGCTGGCATGGGGCTGTTCTGAAAGTGACAACATATGACAGTAATGTTTGAACTGAAGACACTTGTCTTGCTTTGTTCTGATACTCCAATCTGATTTACACTTCTGAAGGTTTATGTATCAAAAGATGGAGATCATTTATTTCTGTTTTTCCTGCTTTTTTTCAAAAGAAAAACAGGCAAATGTTCGTATCAAGTTCCATCTCTGCTCCTTTGCAAGGAGAACATCTTTAGCAAATTATGTTTTCCAAGTTGATAAGTTATGGAATTTGGTATAGATAAAATATGTAAATACTTGTCAATAATCAAGGAACAGGGTTTTTTTTGAAAATGTTATTGTTATTTGAAAAGCTCTCCAAGAGTATTTCTTTCATATCACCATTTTCAGCTACCTTGTTGCAACTTGAGTCCTAAGCCAGTCCTAAATGAGTTACCATCTGCTTAGTCCTTCCGCCTGTTTCTGTAAGTGAAATATATACTTGAGGAGCTAAAGCGGCTGTGTATTTTTAGTATGTTGATCTATTTACATGTTCAGAATGTAATGTAAGTACACACACACACACACACACAGAGAGAGAGAGAGAGAGAGAGAGAGAGAGAGAGAGAGAGAGAGAGAGACCTTAATACGCCCACCTTGCTTTGCAGAACTAAACCAAAAGAGCGGCTGTGGACTACTTTGTGGTGTCTGCCCTCTGCTGCTGCATGGTGGAAATGCAGTCCTGTTACAAAGGTTGGCTCTTTGGCTGTGGAGACACTTTCTGAAAATCTCTTTGTTTTGTGTTCAGAGCCTCCACGCTGGAAAAAGAAACCTCAGAGTGCAGTGTACAGCACAGGAAGCAGTGGTATCTTGTTGTGTGAAGCGGAAGGAGAACCTCAACCCACGATCAAATGGAGAGTCAATGGCTTCCCAATTGAAAGTGAGTTAAAAACAAACTAAAAAAAATTAAGATCTGAGAGTGACAGTGTGGGGAAGACAGCAATCGGATGGGACGGTATATCAACAGACAGTTCTGTGCTTTGTGAAATATACCAGAAGGTGTGTATTAGAGTAATACAGCAATCAGATGGGACGGTATATCAACAGACAGTTCTGTGCTGTATGGAGTATACCAGAAAGGTGTGTATTAGAGCAATACATCGTGAAAAAAATCAGCAAGTTCTTCTTTATGAGCAATGTGATGGATGGGAACCAACACAGTGAAGAGGCATGGAGAGTGTTTATGCACACACTAACATAATTATAGATATGATATATATATATATATATATAGTAATGACCCAATGACTGAATTAGAAAAAGGCCTAACAACAAACAACACTTGCTCCTGACCGTGAGAAAGAATGATAGAGTAACCTAGTGGAGGAAAGCATAAGTTGGAAGTTAAAGCTTCTTGCACCCAAGCAACATCCCCATCCCGGGCGCTGCCCCTGCCGCATACAACCTTTAGTCACACATTGCCTCCATGCTGTGGGCAGGAAACATGTGAAACCTGATAGTCTACGTGACCCAACAGCTCCCGAACTCCTGATAACTCCAGAAGAGCCCTTTGAGTCTGGTCCACATTCTGTGGGCCATGGAAAGATGGGAGAGGAGCAAGGTTAAAAGTCCAGTCTCCTCACTGAATCAGTCTCAAAGCTCCTAAGCTTTTAATTTGTACCCAGTACTGAGGCTATTGTGAAGGTATTTGTTCAGGTAGGAGGACAGAACCTGTATTATGTGTTATGTTCTGGTTGAGTAGCTCCATGGAGAAAAAGAATATTAAATGCAGGTATATGGCTTTCCTTATTCCTTTGTCCTGGTCCCCCATTTTAGGCCAACTTCCTTGTGGTTTACAAACCTATGTCCTTTCTGGGCTATGACCCATTCCAGTCCTGTGGCCTTGAGCTGATCAATGAACTCCCTAAGCTTAGGTTTCTCAAGGTGCAGAATGGAAGCAATAGTGGTGTTTGTAGGAGATAAATTTGTCAGCTATCTATGGTCGTGATATATCTGCAGAGGTCTCTGATGGTTTATGAACTCTGGAGCCACACTGTCTGTGTTTGCATGGCCATCCTAACGTTTACTAGCTGTGTGACAAAAATGTGACTTACCCTCTCAAAACCTGTTTCTTCATAAGCAAAACAGAGATGAAAATAGCTGTGACCTGTGGGTTCATTACGTGGCTTTATGGGTATAAGAGTATATAGTTTGAGAGATGAGGAATGTAAGGAAGCCAGCTGTCATCAGCAGTCTGAGTGCTTTGGAGTGGAGAGGTGAGTAAATGAAAGGACTCTCAAGGCATGTGTGTCTGGAAAAGGAGAAGGAAACAGTTCAGAGTGGCCAAAGTTCAGGGCATAAGGAAGAAGCATGGTGAAATCATTCAGCAGATGAAGGCATCTGAGCATGGGAAATGACAAGGCCAGACTGGGGTCTTGGGATTCTATCGATGACAGATGGGCAATCATAGAGATTTGAGTGGAAGAGTTTGAGTGGGGAGTGTTATGTTTGATTTGTTTGTGAAGGACCGGAGTCTGATCTGAGGTTCCCTCCACATGCCACACAAGTAATTTACCACTGAGCTATATCCTGCCTCTTGTAAATTATGTGTAAAAGGAATTTTCTGGTCTCTGGATGAAGCCTTTACCTCTACGACTGCAAAAAAGGTGAAAGACACGGAGGCCTCAGGCTAGACATTTTTCATAGCAGTTAGGTAGTGGGTGTTTCTGAAGTACAGCCAATGCATTTGTTAGCGGATGAAATGAGAATAATTATATTCACAGGTAATTATATTCATAGGAAGTACTGAAAGCAGTGGTGGGCAAAGTGTGCCATTGCCACAGCTCTTGAGCACAGCTTTCTTCCATTAATGCAATAGGATCACTGCATGATGATGGTTGGGCTGATAGAAGGATTGGAAATATCTTTGGACTTATACTTTCAGAAACTCATGTTCCTTATGAGTTTTATTTCAGAATTAATTCAAGTGAATTCAGTGGTTATAACCTTTCACACAGAGATGGCATCCAGTATTTCTGAGAGAACCTTGGGAAAACAGACTTCTTTGTTCTTCTCTTTTCAAAGGCAATGACCAAGGTTCAATAAAACTAGAGGATTTACTTGGGGACACAACACAAGTAAACTCATGGCCAAAGCTAAACTGAGAAAAGATTGAATTTGAATGGAGTGTTCTCCAACCTTATTGTCTTATTCTCGTTGATCTTATGGAAGAGATTAATCTAGAAAGAATTCTGGGATTGTATTGGGACTAGTATATTTTAGTAGATACCATTAAACATTACATTTTCTTTAGACTTTAGAACAATTACCTGTTGACAATGTGTGGTATACTGTGAAGTTTCCATATACATTCTCAGGAGAGCTGAGCAAGGGTTAGTTGTTCTTTCATCTAAACATAAAGATTTGGTCTTAATTCTTCTTTTCCAATGCTGTGTTGATTCAAAGCTGCCCTTGGGGCCCATGATATAAGGGGGAACACAGGGATGACAAGATTAACTCTGCCAGCCTATGTAATAACAGAGGAATAAAGGAAGAGATCAGAAACGTAATCTCTCATGGTGTCCTTTACGATTTCTGTCATGCAGAACCTAGAAAGGCTATATATCTCGTTGATCCTGAAGAAGTAGCTGATAAATTGCTTCAGTGGTTTATGTTAGCTTTCTGATGTTGCTGCAACAAATTTCCAGAAGTTTGTTCTCCTGAACCAATACAATTTTCCTGTTGTATAAGTCTGGAAGTTAGGAGTTCTCTACAAGACTCTCTGCAAGGAAATCAAAGTCTCTCTCCTAATTCCCTCTTCCCCTTTACCCCATCTCAGTGTTTCTATCTCCATTTCTCTCCAGTTATTACAGGCTGCCTGCATTCTTCACATAGGGCTCTCTTTCTCAATCTTCACAGTTGACATTATTGTGACAATGGCCATTTTCTCATGGTCATGCTTTTCTGTTTTTATAACCAGACAAGAGTTGCTTTTCAATAAGCAATGTAGTTACATGGGACCCACCAGAATAACAGCATAACTGCTCTATCTCAAAGTTGTCAGCCTTATTCACATCTGGGTGTTTTTTTTTTTCTAGTTGAAGCACATAGTTATAGTTCTGAGTAAAAATCAGGACCTAAATTTCTGTCTACTGACTGGAAATTTTCATGGAAAAATATGTCATCCTTTCTACTTATTTCAGATATTCCCACAAGTATTTACTCACAGGCTTCTTTGTGCTTGCTCTTTAGGTGTTAGTAATACATTCATACATCTGCACAGATGCAAAGAACGCAGCTGGACAAAGGAATGCATGTATTATGGTTCTAATGAGAAAAAAAGAATATATCAAAAAGTCTCCCAATATGTAGTAGATCTTGGTTCCCACACCATGAAGTTTAAAATAATTGTTGCTTTGTATAATGGAAATACGAGATAGAAAATATCTATTGATGTCAATTAAGCTAATTTTTTAAATTGTTGTCCCTCACCCAATAATTCCAGCACAAATGTTCTTCTTCCTCTCTGTTGTGTCAAAGCAAGAGTTTATTTAGAACTCAAGCTGTTGTCAGAAGCTGTAGGATACTCATTTTCTCTGAAAGTGATATTTCCGAGCCTTATAAATGTTGACAATTCAGGTAATGAGCAGAGGCAATTTCATAATGCATGGACTATACCCCGTGGGATATTTTGGCTCTTAATAAGTGCACAAGAACATTAGATGTGCTAATTTTCAACAGATAATTGCATTTTGGATCAATAGTAGTATGTTTTAATGTGTTTATAAAATTTATTAAAATATAATTGCATTATTTCCTTCTAATTTTTTGTTGGACATTTCCTTTGAAACTCACATCTGTTTTAATCACTATTGTTCTTTGGTCATTAGTGTTACATAAAAACACACACACACTTATGTGTGAACACACACATACACACAAGAAAAAACATAGAAATACAAGATATTGAATCTATTCAGTGCTTTCTGCATCAATATATTTCCAGGAATGACCTCTGATACAGTTATCTAATTATTCATTATTAATAAAATATCAGAAGTCAGATATTGGGGTAAGAACCTGAATGATCAGAGAAACGGCGGTAAGAACCTGAATGATCAGAGAAAGGGCCCAGTAGTGACCAGTGACCTCCTATCTTTTCTGTTCCTCCATTCAACTAGCCTGAGATCCTCTCTAAGTCCCGCCTTACTACTTTCTGTCTCTCTATCTGTCCTCTGTCCTCCAAAACCTCTATGAATAATTTTGGTCCGCTAGTGGCTAGCACCACCCTCTGATTCAAAGCAAACTTTATTGTCAGAATGCAATCAAAATATCACACAACATTTCTCCTTTTTTTGATAAATAAAAAGGCAAGGCTTTAACTCTAACAGTAAAACTATAAAAAAGAACAACTTTCAGGTAAGAATTATATTCACAATGTTCAGTCCACTTGCACTTGGGAAATTCTGAGAAAATCCTCCATTATCTAGCCTCTCTTCGCGAGTCCAAAGTTTTGTACCTAATTTACTTTTTATCCTAACTTATATTAACAACCCCACACCATCTTTTTATTTCTCTCAACTTTAAATACTTTACACTTCTTTTGTGAGTTTCTTTGCTGAATTTGGTAACAAAGAACACTATAACTGTGACTATCTAGTCTTCAACTTCATCAGTGACCTGAGAAAGATAAAATATTAGTGCAGAGAACAAAACCTGCAAAACTAAGAAATGACAGAAACAGCTGACTGCCTAGACAGCCACCCAAAGTTACTCTGTAATGTTGCAGCAGCCATCTTGGCCTACGGACCTAAAATATCTGACAGACTTTTCCATAAAGCAGAAATTTTGAATGACTATTCTTACTTGTCTTGGCAAATTTCAGAAGTCTTTTTTTTTTTTTTTTGGTTCTGCTCAGACAATATACTGTCAGCAGTTGAGGCAAGAGCAATTTCTTGCTCAGTGGCTAACTTTTGCCACAACGAAAGTAAACTCCATATGGAGTTTCTTTGATGTCCATTATTGGTGCTACCAGAAGCAGACATGTCTCATTGTCATAAAACGTCTTGTTACTAAAGCATCTTAAATGCCATATTCTGTAGATCTCTGAATAATTTGAAGACCACCTGTCTATATCTCTATTTGACATTGAAAATATACTTAGCGTGACTGTAAGTTTGACTATAATAGGTGACAAACTACCAACCTGCATTTCTTTATTATCCTAAATAGTTTGTAATAATAATTTTCAAGGGCTAGAAATTTACATTACATTGTTAAATGAGCTGCATAGGTACAATACCTTAAAAAAGAGTATGTACAGAATGTTCTAACAAAAAAACCCTTGAATTTGTATCAATATACAAAAATGTCTTAAATAAAAATAGAAACATATATACAGTATAACAAAATTAACCTTAAATTTGCCTCAATATGCAAAATTCCATACCAATGTAAAATATTTAAGACTGCTAGTTGTTCTTTATTATTTTAAAAGTAGATTCAATAAACTACTCTTTTAGCCTATCATTTCTATTTCTCCCCCCTTTTTTTTCTTTTCAGGATGAGATCCCTAAAACGTATCTCCTTTGTTCAGGTTTTTTCCTGATCATTACCAATAACAACTTGTAACCAACCATCCTAATCGATGAAAAATATCCATAACTCACTGAATGACCAAAACTAATCCATCCTACCTCTTGAGAATGTGGGCATCTTGTTCTCTAGATTGCTTCCTGTTATCTGGGGGATGGTAAAATCTCTGCAGGACCCTGAGAAAACTGAGATAATGGCCAAGTATTGGGAGAGCTGGTTGTATCATTTGTTGCCAGTCTCTGGGTAATGGGAAACGTTGGACTTATCTGAAGTCTTGGCTGGAGTAGTGTATGGAGGAAGACCATCTCAGCTAACTGCTTTGAAGCTGTCCTGAGCAGTTTAGTTCAAAGCTGACCTTTGGGTAATGTTTGTCAACTTAGTGGCATTACTACAATTCACGTGGAATCATTGTTGTAGGGTACCCCCATCCTTCTGGAGACTTTAAAAGTTGTTGTTCAGAGTGGACATGGTTTACTGCGGAAATACATTTGAAATGTATATGCAACACATCTCTGAGATCTTAAAGGACCAAAATTTGTTAAGTACATCCAGAATACACAAACTTAATTCCTAGTTTTCTGATTCAGACTCAAGTCCAAAATCATATATAAAAAGCAGGATTAAGCCTTTTTCAAGAATTAGTACTACATATAATCATTAATTTCACAATGAAAAATTTAAACACTTACATATATGTTAATGTTATGAACTTTGTTATAATATTTATACCTTAAAAAATTTAAAGAGTCAAAATAAAACCAAAGGATTATGAGATTAGTACCAATAGAATAGTCCTGTAATTTTTGTTTTTCTTTTATTCTATATCACATGGATCTCTGACATGAGACAAAAATTTTGGATTTTTCTTTAGCAAACATGTTTGTGATTAGAGGCATAGAGAGCCACACTCAAATTCCAAAGGCCCCTTTAATTTTTAATTGAACTTGAATTTAAAAAAGACCATTTGCCTTATATGTCTGTAGACAACAGCAGAAACAAACATTTGGGAAGATTTATGAAATTTTATTCTGGTAGAAATGTGTTATACCATTAGGCCAATTGATTGTTTTTCTTGGGAAACTTTTCTGGATGATTTATCCTTTTTCTTCAGATGTCTCATTTGTTCAGTGGTTTTCAGATTCCTTAGTTGGTGACTAAACCTCTTCCTCAACATAACCCGTATCCTGGTTCCATTCTGAGGTCAGCACATTTATCCTTTTTCTTCAGATGTCACATTTATTCAGTGGTTTTCAGATTTCTTAGTTGGAGACAAAGGTAAAACCTCTTCCTCAACATAAGCCATATTCTGGTTTACATTCTGAGGTCAGCACATCTTTAATGTATACAGGCTGATTTAATTCAGCAGTCTTTTTTCTATTACCCAATGTCTCTCTACAGCTGTCATTCTTTCATTAACAATTAGAAAATCTAAAGATAACGCAATAACATACAGGATCCAGATTCTTTGTGTATTTTCCATCATTATGTGGCTTTTTTTTTCTTATTTTACTTTACTCCTTTTTGAAGGTCTTTATTATTTTAAAATTATTTTTAATCTATTACTACATATACTTTTTCTCCTCTCTCTCCTAAGCGTATGTATATTTTTAAACATATTATAACCTGCTTAGAAATTTATTTGGTCTGGATCTGTCTTTACTGAGCATCTGTATTGTTTTGTTTTGTTTTGTTGATCACATGAGATGAATCTTAAATTGTTATGTCAGCTGCCAGGATCACTCAGCCTAGTGAATGGCATCACTCATGCTGCTTGGTGGCTTGCTCCTCCCCACTTGGTTCCCTGAGAGCTTAGATTCATGGTGGAGGTCCTAGAGGGAGATAGGTATACTGCCCCAGCTCTGGGAAGTTGTTAGGTTCTTGCTGTCACTGAATAATATGCTGCCCTCTGCTCATAAACCCCATGTTAGTGTTACATAACATGAACCCTTAAAAAAAGCTGTGCCATGTTTGCAGCTAGCACCAAGCCAGAAAGCTGCCTCTTAAAGGAGCCACCCTTCTGTTTGATGCTAGCACCAAGCTTACCTAAGAAAAGACAGTAAGACAGATACCAAGAAGCTATGTTTCACAGTTTGTGTGCTTTTATTCCCCCCCCCAATGTTTTTAGAGTTTTCTTAGATTTTATGTGGATCTATGTTGGCCAAAGTTGGGGTGCCAGGAATTTAATTAATTTTGTAATTATTCTTTGTCAGTAAAAAAAAAATCAGGAGTCAGATATTGGTGTTAGAACCTGAATGATCACAGAAGCACCAGAGAAGCCACCAGTGACCTCCTATCTCTTCTGTTCCTCCATCACAAGGAGCTGAGATTCTCTTTAAGATCTTCCTTACTACTTCTTCTCTCTCAATCTATCCTCAGTCCTCCAAAACTTCTATGGGTAATTTTGGACCACTAGTGGCTAGTTCCAGCTCCACTGTCTGGTTCAAATCAAGCTTTATTATCAGAATGCAATAAAAATATCACACAATAAACCTCTATTCACAAATAAATAGAAGTGGAAAAGTCTGAAATGTACTTCAACTGATAAATGATGATGCAAATATGGTGCGTATATATCTAGGAATACTATTCAGCTGTAAAGAAAACTGAAGCATGAAATTTCAGAGTAAATAGATGCAACTAGGAAATATAATATTTAGTGAAGTAGCCCAGACACAGAAACTAAACTACACATGCTCTTTTTCATCTCTGCTTCCAAAATTATCAGATGTGAATAAATACCCTGGAGTGACTTCAGAAACCAGGGAGTAAAAACGAGATCATTATAGAAAGTAGGGTAAATTAGATTGCTAAAAAGTTGTACACAGGACAACTACACTCAAAATGAAGATGAAGAGGAGGAGGGAGTATATCATGAAAGAAGGAAGAAAAGAAAGAAAGAAAGAAAGAAAGAAAGAAAAGAAAGAGAAAGAAAGATTGAAGCTTGGGAGTTACATATTTGATATAACTAAGTGATAATATAAAGTACACAAAATAAAGGCATAAATCCAAAAATAGTGGAAAGGGGAAAAGGGAACCAGGAAAGATGTTGTCAAGAGAAAAAACAGGGCCAGTTAGACTCTATTTGTTGCTGTGCACTGGGCAACATCTAGATGCAGATGCTGAAGTGTGAGTCTACTCACAGTAGGACTCAGATGGCAAACAGATCACCTCCCATTTTATGATCAGGGATGCAGTGAGGCAATGAGCTGTAGGCAACATGGATTCTCATCATATTTATTTGAAAGCGTAATTTGAAAAGGAGTTACAGATGCAAAGGCTCTGAAAAGGTACCCATGTAAAGACTTGATTTCAAGTGAGCTATTTTTCACCCTAAACTGGTCTTAAAATATAGATACTGTGTGACACATTTAATAAATCATTCATAAATATTTTATATTCTGTTCTTTATCATACTGACAGTCTCTCTTCTCTTTCAGATCATCCATTTCCTGGTGATGTTATGTTCCCCAGGGAAATCAGTTTTACAAATCTACAACCAAATCATACTGCTGTCTATCAGTGTGAAGCCTCAAATATCCATGGAACCATACTTGCCAGTGCCAATATTGATGTTGTAGGTGAGCATCCCTGCATCTTAACTTCACTTACTGTTTGCTGAAGGAAAATGCTCAGTTATAGTCATAAGGACCAGCTTTTTACGGGTGTGAATGTACGTACCTGTGTTCATGTCGTGGCCAGAGGACAACCTCAGGTAACATTCCTAAGGTACACTCTACTTTTATTTTTGGGACAGTGTCCCTCACAAGTCTGGAACTGATGAAGTAGCCTTGGATTGCTTCCAGGGAGCATCAGGGATCCACCTGTTTTTTATTGCTCATTGGCAGGATTGCACTCTAGTGCCCTTTTCTTTTCCTATTTATCTTTTAAACATAGGTTTGTGTGTGTGTGTGGGGGGGGGGGGGGAGATAAATGGCTATTTGTGCGCTAAATTCTTTACTTACTGAGCTAGCTCTCCAGTCTAAAGTCCCAATGAATTTTTGACATATAAACCATGGGGAAGAAAATAAATGTGTGGTTCACGTTCTGTGTAGGCATTGGATATTGTATCTAAATTATGCTTTCAGAATGTGCTGGTTTTGTATAATGTTCAAATTCAGGAATTTGTACTGAAATGTTCAGCCATCTTCTGTTCTTATAAATATGTCAAGGATATAGAAAATCTTCCTTGTACCTAATTTTTGCAGAAAGGTATAAAACCTTATCTTTACTTCTGACTAGATGTTGTCCCACTGATTCAAACTAAGAATGACGAAAATTATGCTACGGTGATTGGGTATAGTGCTTTTTTACATTGCGAGTACTTTGCTTCACCCAAGGCCACAGTGATCTGGTAAGATGACTTGCTGTTCTATTAAGAAAATGGGTGTGGGGGATTGTTGAACTACCATTTTGCAGGCAGTACTGTGTTCCTGTTGCTTCAGAGAGCCAATGCCTCTGAGAAATAAAGAAAGAAATTTAATTACTCATCCCTCCTGAAGCATTGACTAGAATCCTGAGATTTTTTTTTCATGAAGAAATATACAGAGCCATTTGTGTTCATAAAGCACACAAAGAATTAAAATGATTCCTAAGACAATTTTAAAGAATGATTTGTTTTTCTATGATGGGTCTAGCTAAGGATTGTTATGACTTCTGGGCTGTCTGATTATTTATCTTAACCTACAGTCAATTGCAAACTCAATTAAGACTTTGCTAACATTCATTTTGATTTTAATAATGCTATTGTTGTTTAAGTCTAAACATATCACCCTAAGCATCTGCCATCTTAGTTGCTTTACTGATAAAGTTTGGTTACTTTACTGTGAAATTATTGTGCTATTCCCATACAGGGCCTGAAGTAGGGAGAAAGTAGTGAGGTCAGGCAAGGCAAAAGCAGAGTCATAACTTATCTGATTCAATTGTGAGGTTTTGTCCATTTTAAGGTTTTGGTTTTGACTTCTAAAAAATATTCAATGAAAATATTATTTATCTTGATCTCTGAAATGCTTTTAAACTTTGCATCTGAGGCAAGTCCCTTGCACGTCTCAGCCTAGCCCTCCCTTTGAAAACCCTGTGCTAGTGGCCCATTTGTCCTCTAGAATTGAGAGCACAAGCAATCACTTACTGTGAGATGCACAGGGTTAATCAGCCTGTGACAAGAAGTGCTTGGAGAATGGATGAATGTGGGTGAAAATGAGCCTGAGGTTGATAGGGTAAGTGTAATACATGTCCACAGGAGAGGCACGACTTCCTGGCTTATAATATTTCTGAATGACCAATGTTCTCCTAGGAGAGCCGGAGGTTGGGAAGGTTTATTATCTGTTTCAATTACTGGTTTCCCAATTTGCTAGCCCAGAGCAATCAGTAACTAAAGGCTTTACCATAAACAAGCCAGGAAATATTTATTAAGCTTTGAGGACACATGCAAAACAGTGCTAGAAGATGTGAGACAAATAGAGGCAACTGGAGAAGTAGGGGATTGGATTCTCTTCAGCTCTAGTCTGTTGGTCAGCTCTAATATACACGATGGACAGTTTGAAGAGAGAAATTAGTTTCCATGAGTACATTCCATATGGTCTACCAAGCACCCGAAGACGGCGTAAGCCTGGATGACATCAAGGAACTGTATCTGAAGAATTCAAAATTGTGTCCCAATCAAAAATCACTCATTTCTGCTTCTCCACAGGGAAGTGGCTGATGAAACACATCCCCTTGAAGGTAGTCGGTACCATACCCACGAAAATGGCACTCTGGAGATCTACAGAACCACTGAGGAAGATGCAGGATCCTACTCTTGCTGGGTAGAAAACGCAATAGGAAAAGCCGTCATCACAGCCAGTTTGGATATTAGAAGTACTGTTATTTTGCTTTTACATTCATGAGTTCTCACATGCGTTCAGTTTCTCTTTGTTTCCTCAAACAAAACAGTGTTATTTAAATTTGAGCACCTGTTAAAGTTCACTTGATTATATCTTAAAAGCACTCCATTGCATTTCATCTGAAAGGCTATTTGGGGTATGGCAGGGTGTGATGTTCATGGATTTAGGCCATCTTAGCAGGTAGGTGTGTATTGTTAGTGTTAAATCTTAAGAAATTCCTACTTGGGTGTATTTTCAGATCTATGTTTTATTCCAGTAGTGAACTTGAGGTATTACCAAGCATTAGGTTTTTGTTTTTTGTTTTTGTTTGTTTTTTTTTTTAAGCACTAAAGCAAAATCATAGAAGTTTGATCTCAAAAAAAAAAAAGCAGTTTGACAACTTTGGGCTTTTTTTGTTCTCTAAACCAGTGAACTAGAAACATTCTTGTCAACCAGGTTTCCTCTTCAGTGAAGTCCTTGGAAGCTGCCGATAGACTCAGGCTTCACTGACATTTTTATTTTTCATATTTTTTTAATCTCAAAGATTCATAGCTTTGATGATAACAATTGCTTTTGTCCTAAGTTATTATGATCCCTGACTCATTCAGTAAGAATTCCCACTAGTCAATATTAAATGTTTAGAGTGTCCTCCCTCCTAAGCTCTGAGAGTACTTCTGTCCATCCTTTTGTCTAATCCTCCATATTTGTGTGGATACATTTATGCCAGGGCTTCCCCATTTCTGATTTAATAATAAGTATGTGTATATAAAATCACCTAACTTTCCAATGCTCCTTATAACATGATTATGTATCTGGATGCTACAATATGAGAACTTACATTATTTTCAACTTCCAGAGACAATTTTAGCTCACAGTTTTGTTATTTCCTTAGCAAAGAGTGGTGAGAAAGTGTGCTAACATTAATTGGTGGTTGCACCTAAGTTTTCTCAGGTTTAATGTTAGAAAATTACAGTGGGACACAGCACCATGACAGTTTTGGTTGGCGAGGTTGTGGACACTTTACACTAACAGAGTGAGCTGTGCTCTGTAGTTCTAACCACCACCTTTCTTTGACTGACAACCACGCAGATGCCACAAAGCTCAAAGTTTTTCCGAAGAACCCTCGCATCCCGAAATCCCACGCACTTGAACTACACTGCGAAAGCCAATGCGACTCCCATTTGAAACACAGTTTGAAGCTGTCCTGGAGTAAAGATGGGGAGCCTTTTGAAATTAATGGCACAGAAGACGGCAGGTGAGTCCACTGCTGTGAATGAGTTGTGTGTGAGTTGCAAATTTCACATTAGAAAGAAAAAGTCCCAAAATTATTCACACTACACTAAAGTACAAAAATTCAAACGTTTCATTCTCCAAATCAGTATTCAGAAGATCTTAAAGTATTTATTGTTTGTTTTATGTCCTTCTTGTTTCTGCTCTGTACGTTTTATAAAATGTGGTTTCTCCTCTCAGAGCTGGAAATAGAAGCCAGGTGTGAGATGCATTTTACCTGCATAGGTTTAGGAGCTTCCCGGAGCACAGGGAAGACGGGAAGAGCAAGATGTCAAAGGTGTTGCTTTTGGGGTTCTTGCTCATGCATGGGCTATACATCTCTGATCCAGGTGTCTGAAAACTTCTGCCTCCTCCCCAGACACCTTGCCCACTTGCTGCCACAGGAGACTCAACTGTTGCTAACCCATTGTCTGCCGGAGGCACTGTCACACTGCATTCTAAAACGGCAGTCAGTGTCCGTTCCCTTCTCCCTGCCAGTCTCACCCATAAAACCCCAATTATATCTAGTAGTCATCTCGTTACGACATGTTGCCAACATTATCTGGCCCTTCTCTCAGTAGGAGCACCTTTCATAACCCTCAGCAGATATCAAAATCCATGTGGTCACGTGCATTCTATAGAAGGATATTCTACTCAGTCTCATACCTTTATTTAGGATATAGATTACATTTACAGTATTTTAAATTGTCGATACAGTGTGAATACTCAACAGTCATTGTACAGTGTGATTTAGAGAATAATGGCACTAAAAATTGTAGCTGTTCTATACACATCTGTTTAAAAGGTTTTGTCCATCCCTAATCAGTTGAATCTGTGAATGTAGAACTTACATATACAAAGGCTGGAGATGCATTTCTGAGAGTATTCTGAACAGGAGGAATGCAGAAGATAGAACAAAGAGGAAAGCTTGAATGACTGTTGAGAATCACTGGAGTTTAAGGGCAACAAAAAGATAAAGGGATCAATAGAACCCACTCTAATTAAAATAGTCAGAAAGTCTGCTTTGTCTGTTAAATCACACGAAAGTCGGTTGTGTTTCTGCTTTATTGTCATTGAGGGAGAGCTAGGAATTTATCATTTTGAAGTCAAATCTCATCTGAAATTACACAGTAACTCTGAAGGTCTGGAGATAACCCAAGTTCTTTTTTGATGAGATCTCAGTGGAGTCTTGGTTAAAAGAATGAACTCGAACTCAGTGTTGTTCAAATCCCAATGCTGGCTTAATGGATTGCTGCCCTCACACCGTCTGCTTGATGTCTTTCTACCTCCACTTTTTATAACATGACTCGATGTAAAGGAAGAAAAAGCTGGAGCCTAAGACCATTGTGAATTATGATTTGATGGTCTCAGAAAATAAAAGAAACAACTCATTGTTCACTATTCCATTTTGGACCATTCATTCATCATTTCTCTAGTTGGTTCCTTTCATGATTGTTATTGCATTGGCCTCATTGTTTTAATATCTACATATGCATACACATGCCATTTCTCTATGCAAAGACACCAATTTCAGCTGTGACCACTGACGTATTGCAGTGTGGCTCTTGCCTCGTACTACTGACTGACAAATCGCATCATAGGAGTTGATGTGAGAACAAGGGGCCCTACCTCCAGACCAGTCAGCCCCATATGATTCAGTTTTATTTCCTCATCTTCAAAGTTTTCAGTTTATTAATTTAGCACTAAATTTTTGAATTATGTAAAACTGTCACATTTTCCACAAAAAAGCCATTGCTTACATTTTTTTCCACTAATAGCTATTACTGTGAATGTACTTTAAATTTAATGGTACTTTTTGTAAAAAAAAAAATGAGGATTAGTGTTGATATGTCTCTAAGTATAGAGCAAAAAATACAATTGATAAAGGACTGATTTTTGTATGACAAACTATTGCAAACTGACAAAATGCAAAGAAACAGATTTTAAAAATAGCCTTTGAAGTGAGTTGCAGAAAAAAGTACAGGACTGCCACCTAGTGGTTAAATGCATTAAATGCTTCAATTATTACAAGTTGGAAATTAACTATTAGCGGACAGGGAAACATCAAAAGGGGAGAGGGAAGTGAGAAAAATATATGCTCAAATAAAAATAGTAAAGTCTAAAAACATTTTTAAAAGATACTATCAGACTCCATGATAATATTCTGGTTTTGTGGAACTGGGTAGAGTTCTAAAATCTTCTTTTTCCAGAAGCATCCTCCTTGATTCTGTATAAGGTTTGCTGTTTATAGCATAACAATTATGTAATTATCAACAGTCACCAGGTAGAGGCAGGTGAATCTCTATGAGTTCCAGGCTAGCCTGGTTAACAGAAGGAGTTCCAGGCCAGCCTGGGAGCCAGGGAACTTACACAGAGAAATCCTTTCTTCAAAAACTACAAACCAAAAACCAAAACCCCTAAAATTTCCTAGCTCTGTTAGGATGATATGAAGTTTGGCCAGCCCAAACTTCTGTCACAACCCATAGGTCACAGATGGTTGATTATATAATATGTAAAAATATGATCCCATTTAATACTGTGTATTAAATGTGTATATTGTGAGACTGTATTCCAGGTTTTCATCTGTGACCTTCTCTGGTAACATCTGCATTGTATGAACTGGCCTCATCACTCTGTCTTGAATCATTATCCATGCAGGAACTTGCATCATGGGTTGTGAGAGGAATGTATTTCTGCTATTGGACATGTTCGTACCCACATCATGTACTTTTTGCTGTCCCCCATCCCAACAGAATATTGATTGATGGAGCTAATCTGACCATATCCAACATCTCAGTAGAAGATCAGGGTATTTATTCCTGTTCTGCTCAAACTGCTCTTGATAGCGTTTCTGAGAAAACTCATGTAACCGTACTTGGTAAGTAAAAACAGAGAGGATCTCTGCCCCATGCTTCCTAGGAGTGCTTAACTTCCTTTGTTTCTAGGCGTTTTAAAGCAAATGATTACTTGGGCCTCTGCTCTCAAAGTAAAAAAGTAAAATCTGATTTTTTGTTTGTTTGAAGTGTAACTTTGCTTTTAAATTATTTCTGCTTTTTTCACATAAAAGAAATTAATTAATGCCTAATTATTTTTCCCTATGTGGGAACGTTGCCAGTAGCAGCAGGAGATATGCAATGCTGGCAGAGAAAAGAAAAACCAAGGTCTCGATCCACCCATTACTACTGCTCAGAGACGCGGGGCTGAGAACAGAAGAGCTCTATGGAGAGCCGGTAGTGGATGCTTGGTGTTTACACTCTACACCAGAACCTTAGGGTGAACTCCCAGCGCCCCAGGAATCTGAACGCAGACACCAAGTATTCTGTAAAGAAACATATTTGAATGTTTTAAGTACTAATTGGAAAACAGTGTGCACACTCCAGTGGCGCAATCAATGTCATTAACCCTGAAATCACTAGTGTTTATAGCCCTCAGACCATCTGCTGGCTGCTTTCCAAATGCCTTTCTCTATTAACTCACCACGAGCTCTTCCTCCTATAAACATGCCCTGGAAAGACAACACCAACAAACCATTTAAGATGTAGCTTTCACTACAGGTATAGTATCCCGAGAAGTGTGAAGGGTATTCACACCCTTTCTTCTCGCCATCTGTGTAGGCTTGCTAAATCTCACTGCTTAAGTCATAGTTACTCCAGAAGATTTTTCCTACACAATTCCTTCTGAAGGGATCCTCCCACCATTAGAATTTCAAACAAGCCCTATAAACAGACTCTGTATACTCTGTCCATATGCATTCAAGGAGGAGTTTCTGCTAACACCTATTGACATTTCCTAATGTAATCAGCTAAATATTACCCGGGACCCCACCCTCTACAGGTAGCTTAACAATTTCCCACCATGGAAAGCGAGTTAGCTGCTGTTGAATTCCTTTATATGAAGCCAGTAGCTACTAAGCTGAGTCCAATTAAGTACAGGTTACATTGGAGCAGGTCTAGACTTGGCTCCTTGAGTGAGATGTTTAGCTCTAGGTAAGTGAGCTTCTTCAGGATTCTGCAAGTGAAAATATTTAATCCTCTCTTAGCTAATCTAGCAGCATTTAAAAGTTATAGAAGCCGAGCATCTGGTAAGCAATGCCACATCTCAGGCAGCACAAATACAGAACATCTGGACATATGAGCATTCCTCCTCAGGATTTTGAGTGATGGCAGCATCGAAAGGTTGGCTTTCTGCTGTTGGCGGCCACCTTCTGAATTTTACTGCAATTTTTAAAATCCACCCTCATGATTACTCTTCCATTTAATAATACTGTGAAATTTTGGTAATTTTAAATATTCAGTGGCTATGATTATACATGCTCTTTATTTATATGGTAATCGCCTAACATTTTAGTAATATTTTAAAAAATTTAGATAAGATGGGGTGATTTTTTAAAACTGCTTCCTTGGTTTTAAAGTATATTTTTTAAGTTTTAATATCTGATTAAAACATACCAATAACTGACCATAAAATGATTCGGGACATGTGTATAGCTTCTAAAATATTTTATCCTAGAAAACAATATTTTAAAAGCCTAGACTTAAACAAGTTTTCCAAGAAGTTGTTTCCAGAAATTTTAGCATAAAAATATTTTAAGAGGAGCTGGAGAGATGAATTAGCCGAAGAGTGCTGGTAAGCTCTGTAAGTTCACTTCTCAGCACACACATGGTGGCTCACAACCACCTATAATGAGATCTGGCGCCCTCTTCTGACATGCAGGCATACATGCAGGCAGAACAGTATACAAAATAAATAAATAAATAAATAAATAAATAAATAAATATTTTCAAAAATATATTTTAAGAAGCAGTTTTCAAAGCCTTTTTTCCTCGGGTTCCATGTGATGTTAGAAGAAATCAGATTTTCATTTCAAGTGAAACATGGTAATTGGGATGCTCGAAGAAACCTTAGGATATATTGGATTCTTAGCAAACCCCAAAGAGGAAAATAAATTCTCTAGGCTTGCGAATATAGAACACTATGAAGGAATACATTTTGTGGGGAAGGAAGACTGGGAAGAACCTATGGTTTTGTGCACTTCAGGCAAGCAGTCTACTCATGAAATCCTAGCCTGGAGAAATACTTTTTTATTTAAGTCCCTGAACTTTTTTTAAAGTGCCAAACTTTAAAAGTAAACATGTTCCATTCTGAACTATAAATAATGCTTTTTGTCAGTGTTCACTTAACAAGAACTTGTCAAATAATATAGGCCAGCATGGATAATAGTCTTACTGTCTCCTCCAAACTAAACATATGTTTTCCTTGAATACTATGAATATTAGAACAAATTTTTACAGTAAATTTATTTGTGGTAAGAATTCCTTCCCTGTTTTACATGGACACACACACAATTTATATATAAACCTTAACACTTAAATATTTGTAATTGCCTTTGATTTACCAGTTTTGTTGCATTTGCCAGTGCCCAATATATATCTGGCATCTGCGCTGGCATCTGTCTTGTGCCTAGATTCTTCTCTTCCCTCCTCTCTTTCCCTGGAAATTCCACATATCCTCTCCTCTCTAGCTACTGGCCTTTCATCTCTTTATTAAACTAATCGAAAGGCACCTTGGCAAATAGACATCTTCACAGTGTACAAAAAGATTATCCCACAATAGGTAGTTTCTCGATATTCTTATTGTTACTTTTATGCATCGCTGATAAAAGTAAAATATTTTCAAGGCTCAGCTTCTCTTTGAATCAGTTCCCAAAGAGGCAAATACTCTCACCAAATAAAATAACATCAATAGGAGGCCTGCTGTTTTCTGAAGGAGGTGGTGGGGAAGTGGATCAGGGGAAAGGGGATGTGGAGGAGAACCGGGAGGAATGCAGGGAGGGGAAGCTGTGGTCAGAATGTGTTGTATAAAAGAATAAGTTTCAAAAGGTGAGAATGTGCTTTGTGAACGTCAAAAAATCTTCAGTGTGTAAAAAAGGACTATTGCTACCCTCAGCGTGGTGCATCCTCAAGGTGGAGACTTGAAAGATCCACTGGAAGCTTTGACTACTAATTCCTCTCAGGAAATTGAACTTGGCTGATGGTCAATGATCTCGCAATCTCTTGAAAACGGAAGAACCATCTCTGTTCTGGCACCCGTACTGCGCACTGTCATGTTACAGCTATCTTTTGTTATTGATTAGGTGTTCCAGATCCTCCAGGAAACCTTCTCTTGTCAGAAAGACAGAACCGGAGTGTCCGACTGTCCTGGGAAGCTGGAGATGACCACAACAGCAATATCAGTGGTAGGAAGCTTGAAATGACCTTCATCTTTACCCAGCTGTGGCAATGCATATCATAGACATTTCAATTACCATTGGAAGATTATCCTTTTAAAAATAGATTTGTGTATTAGTGTGTGTGTGTTCATCTTCTTATATATCTGTGTACCTGTGAAAGTCAGAAGAGGACATTGAATTGGAACCCTCTCATACTGTCCTACCCTCCCTTCTATTGTCCATCTTCTATTAGTACATTTTGTTTTTTTTACTATCTAGCTTGGAAACTTTAATTCTACTTTCATGTCACATATATGTGCATGCTTTTAGGTGTTTATATAAGACCCCAAAACCACAAATGAAAATGAACAGATAATTTTATCTTCTTGAGATTAACTTAATTACTTCGTATGATTTTCTCCACACTTACTCATTTTTCTGTAAATGATGTGACCTTTTTCTTCAACTTGTTGTTTGTTGTTGTATTTTTTGGCGTATGTAAACTCCTGTGTGTGCAGGCGTACATGTGCGTGTATGTAGGTCAGAGTTCAACCTTGAGTGTTGTTCCTTAAGTACTGGCTACCTTCTGGCTTGTTTGATTGTTTTGAGACAGGATCTCTCATTGGCCCATGACTTACCAAGCAAACTAGCTTAGGGCCTAAAAATAGTAGTGATTCTCTTGTTTCCACCTTTCCCTTACTGAATAGGACGACACACAACCAGGTTTGTGATTGTGTGTGTGTGTTCTGAGAAATGAACACAGGGCTTTAACCTTTCAAGAAAAAAAACTTTACTGCTCTGTCAGTCTCAAAATCATTTTTCTTTTTTAAGCTCTTAATGTTGCCAAGAAATCTTCATAGACCATCAACAAATTCAGTATGTTTTAATGGTTTGTCCACATTCTTACCTCAGAGTACATTATAGAATTTGAAGGGAACAGAGAGGAACCTGGGAAGTGGCAGGAGCTAACTCGAGTCCAAGGAGAAGAAACAGAGGCTGTATTATCTTTGGCTCCATATGTAAGATATCAGTTCAGGGTCACAGCTGTGAATGAAGTGGGGAGAAGTCACCCCAGCCAGCCATCGGACCATCATGAAACTCCACCAGCAGGTATGGAGGGCCCCTTTGTGTAACAGAACATTTTATACTGACAGACAACAACCACAATAAAAAATAAAACAAAAAATCTTTTACATTGGCCAAATCTTTGGTTTTGAACACATTTTTATAAAAAGATCAAGTATGGGATGTAGGACTTTAGATTCCTCCAAATAATTTGAAAAGTTGTATAAAACAGCAACGTATAATATTAGAAGTGATTCTTTTAATTTTTAGAGTTGTCTAATTGTTTGATAGTAAACAGAAGATTATTACTCTGAATAGTTTTTGATAGTATTTAATTTCTGAATAGCTAAATGTCATGTTTGAAGTAGATTTTATCATGTAAATTCTAAATGGAAGTTCAGTGTATAAAGGAAGCCATGGATTCAGTTTCCAAAGAGAAGCTTTTAGCTCATACGTAATCTTTTAATATTTTAAAACTGTACACTAGTGTTATGTCTTATGCATTTAGCCTTTTTGTATTTCAATGTTTATCTAAATCATCAGTATAATTTTGTAAATAACCAACAGAGACAGTGCAAGCAATTTATACTACAGAATTAGCATCAGGCAGTATCATTGCCATAAAATGGTGTTTGCTTTTTCTGGAGTAAAATAAGCATACTGGGTTACAATCTACCTTCTGACAAGGAAAAAGCAAAGTGAATTAATCCTGAATCTGGTGCTTGCATGATTTTAGTTTGCATGGGACTCTGCTAAAATTCTTGTTAGGGTGTTTCTAATAAAATGCCTCAGCCTGAATGTATTTTATTTCATGAAAGTTTCTTGTTAATGTTGATACATGGATTTCAATTTCACTATGCTAGAGGCATATGTTCACAACATCCACATCTCTCAATAATTCTGACAGAAAAGTGCAGTTTGAAAATGAAAACATGTATAATAAAGCAGTCTTAGAATTTTAATTAGCAGGCTTAAATTTAATATATATGTAATAAATCATGTACTGTCCATAGAATAGCAATTATAGAACACCGAGAATGCTGTTTTACTCCTTTTAGTAAAATGTATTGTCTTCTCAGAAATTTGATTTACTAAAATTAATAAATATAAAATGTTTGATTATTTGGCTTTTGAGGGGTTAGGTATGATGATTAATCAACTGGTTACTATACAATTTAAAAATATTTTTAATGTTTGTCATTTCTCAGCTCCAGATAAGAATCCACAGAACATCAGGGTTCAAGCATCCCAACCCAAGGAGATGATTATAAAATGGGAGGTGTGTATTCCCTATAATGTTAATGTGCTTTCTCTTTATTATTTATTCATTTTAAGTAGGTTTGCTAACTATAATGACATAACAGGATTTTTTAAGAACAACACAATAATTGGAGAATAAAAAATTAAATTTTAATTTTGATTTTTTTTTTTTTCTTTTTCGAGACAGGGTTTCTCTGTAGCTTTTGGTTCCTGTCCTGGAACTAGCTCTTGTAGACCAGGCTGGCCTAGAACTCACAGAGATCCGCCTGCCTCTGCCTCCCGAGTGCTGGGATTAAAGGCGTGCGCAACCACCGCCCGGCTAAATTTTGATTTTTTGTCAATGCTTTAAGATTACAGTGATTAGAATTAGCTATAAAATAGAGATGCAATTCACGGGTAAAGTGCTTGCCTAGAAAGAATGAGACCTAGGACATAAATCAAGAACTAAAAAACCAAACAAAAGGAATTAGTATAAAATGGGGATTAACTCTGGAAAAGGATTTAATGATAGATAAAGAAATTGATCTAGATGATATCTGTTAAGGGAAACTTCAAATTTCTAGTACTTTGAAGTATTTTAGATATTTTACAATTAAACTATGGTAAAAACCTCCCACCATATGGTCTAATAAATATTACACAAATATCCTCCCAAAAGAAGAGCCATAGGTCTTATAAGCATTAACTCAGATTCTGAATACAGCCTCATCTTTCTCTGCTTTAGACACAGACACTGAGGGCCTTCCAAAGTTCCCACACTAAAACTATTAGAAATGTATTTAGGAAATGTTGCTAAATCAAATCACTCTTTGACTTTGGCAAAACAATTTATATCTGCTGAGATAACTTTCAAGACAGTACTATTTCATTATGTAATACACAAGTTTATTCTGGAACCAGGAGTCATGTTGTAGATGTATCAACTGGGCCTGGGTACTCCACAGTCATTGTTTTCTGTGCTTTGGTTGATTGTCATTGACTATTATTGCAAAGAAAAGTTTCTTTGATGAAGGGTGAGAGCTACACTTATCTGCGAGTATATGGATAGATATTAGGGATGCAGTTAGGAATTCTGCTTAAGTAGTAAATTGGTGCTAGTAAGTTCTCCACTAAAACCCTTGACATCACAACTCCAAGAGATTGGCTAGATTTCCAGTACCAGAGATGATTTCTCTCTTAGGATCCTCCTATAGACACACAACTACAGGCAACTAAGGGATGTTGTGTATAAGAAACAGTCTTCCCATGTATTAAAAATCCCTAAGTGATTATTTAATACTTAATGTTCAGCCCTAAAATATATACATACAAGAAAAACTAAACAGATCGATCAGGTTGTATTTTTATATTTAGGTGTGTGTGTGTGTGTGTGTGTGTGTGTGTGTAGCAATAGTAAATAAAGAAAAACAAACTACAATGTTGAGCGGGAGCAAGGCAGGAGTCCCTAGGAGAGGTGGGAGAGAAGAAAGGGAAAATGATATCATTCTATTTTACTTAAAAATTTATAATATCAAAGTGTGGATTTAAGTCATCTAAAAGGATTTTTTTTAAAAAAAAATAGCTGTTGCTTGATAGTTTCTGTACATTGTCCCTAAACATATTTAAATGAATTTTAAAATTTGTTTCAATAACATAACTGACTTCAAAGAAAATGGGTAAATAACACCTAAACAGAAATCAAGTGAATAATTTGCCCAGTAAGCTGAACTAGGGAAGTAGGAAGTTCTTCAACAACTAACTTAAATGGGCATAGTGCTAAAGGTTTTATTATATGAATTGAAAGTTTCACTTACACTTAAAATGAAAATAAGGAAAATCAAATGGAAAATGAAGGGAACATCATGGAAAACATGGTTTAGAAACTGTGTTGCATTCTCAGAAGTTGGCAGAAGGGTACATTTTAACTATTCTTATCACACAAATACACATATTTATGGCACAGTGCAAATGTACATGGTTTCAGCATTACTATAGTCTGCAATATAAACATATTCAAATTAACATGTAGTCTACGCTAAGTACACACAATTTCTGTCTTGATAACAAGAGCAGAAGCTTTACAGGCCCTTCAATGACTTTTGTAGATTCTTGTGTCCCTAACTTAATAGTATCTTTCTAGAGACCCCTTCACTGTGGTCAGGGCTAGAAGACAAAGGGAAGGCTAGTGGTCTCTTTACCCGATTCATCTTTGCTGTTCTGAAACTGAACTTGCCTTAAGTTATTTGAGAATTACTGATGTTTTATTGACTATTGCCTCAAAGCAAAATACAAAAGTCCTTCAGAAGCTCAGGGGCCAAATTGGCAAAATAACTAAGCAAATGTTCTTAACACAGGCACAGTTTATTTTATAATTTGTCAGAGCACATTATTAAATTTATGTTTTTCTTTGGAGCAAAATATCAACAAATTTAATAATGTTAATCTTACATATTCATTGTCAATAAGGATTGAAAAAATATAATTCTTGATTGTAGTCTGGACCTTAAAGTTTGTACCAGAGACTAAAGAGTTGGCTTGGTGGTTAAGAACACATACTATCTTATAGAAGATTGAGTTTTTTTCCTGAGTACCCATGATCGATGCCCCACAACCTTCTGTAACCTCATCTCCAGGTGTTCCAATGCCTAGATTGGAGTTCACGGGTACCTCCACTCACTTACACATACCCACACACAGATATACTGCATATAAGTAATTAAAAGTAAAAATAAATTCTCATACAGCACTGAAGAGACAGAGGCAGGCAGATCTATGTGAGTTTGAGGTCAGTGCTGAGATTAAAGGTATTTGCTACCAGCTTAAGAGTCATTTGCATGTGTGTATGTGTGTGTATATGTGTGTGTGTGTCTCTGTCTGTCTTTATTTTTTTCTCCTAGTTAGTTTAAATAATTACCTTGGAATAAATATAAAACTAAAATGGTTGATAGAGCATTCTGCTTTTAGTGTGATCCCAACCAATGCTTCTTATAAGTACTTTAGCCAGTTGTATTGAATGAAGAGAAGAATAAATGGTACAAGAACATTTTATATAACATTTAATCACCCACATACACAAAATTACTCTTAATATAAATGAACTTCTAATCTAGGATGAAAATGCATTTTAAGTGAATTTTTATATAAATTACTGAATCATTTAAATAAAGTACCCATTTGTAAAATTAAATTGGTGATTTAAACCAGATTATTTTTCTTTAAAGTTTTCCTTAATTAAAAATTAAAGTGGAAATAATCAATTTCTAATTTAAAAAAAAACAAAAACTCTTCCACAAAACCTTTGTATATGGCAAAATAAAGTGAGTGAAATAGCAATTTTGTGTCAGGGGGTGAGAAAGTATTCATTAAAAAGAGGAAGTACTGCTTCTGGGTCCTCTCTATAAACATGTCCATTTTCTAAAATTAAAGATAGTTTCCATCTCTCTCTATTAATGGAAGCTGGAACAGAATCTTGTGGAGGAAAGTATTCTGCCTGAGGAGTCATGGCCCAAGAGTTCATGACCATATAGTTTCTGTTTCTTTGATAGAAAAAAAAATACAGAATATAGCAGAAGCTTGAGAAAAAACTAAAACACTGTCTTCAATTTATTTTATATATGAAGATTTAGGTCTCACCATATGTGTATAACTCAGGCTCCTAAAGTGCCCCGTGTCTTTGAATGGTAGAAGACTTATGCGTAAGATTAAATGAATAAAACGACAAAAATGCTTCTGACTCCAAGGAGCACAGTTAAGATCTCTAATTTGTTTTCCAGTTAGTCATACATTCTTTAAAATGAGTCACCTCTGCCTTTCGGTCAACATATCTACAAATCCATAGAGTATGTCTTTCTGTTTTAGCCTTTGAAATCCATGGAGCAGAATGGGCCAGGACTAGAGTATAGAGTGAGCTGGAAGCCCCAGGGAGCGCCTGAGGAATGGGAAGAAGAAACAGTTACAAACCACACACTTCGTGTAATGACACCTACTGTCTATGCTCCTTATGATGTCCAAGTTCAAGCCATCAATCAACTCGGCTCTGGACCTGAGCCTCAGCCAGTGACACTCTATTCAGGGGAAGACTGTAAGTGGTTCATCCTTAAATCTTAAACACGTCAAGAATATTTTTGAGTTACCACATTTGTGTCAGCATTTTCAAGTACCTATTGCTTGCAAAGACGACATACCATAGTGGGAGCCGCTTGTTCATTCCCAGCTGCCCAAACTCGAAATAACCACACAGAAACTATATTATTTGCAAACTGTTTGGCCAATACCTTAAGCATATTTTTAACTTGCTCTTATATACTAAACTGACCCATTTCCATTAATCTGTATATCGCCATGTGGCTGTGTCTTACCGGGTAACATTCGGTCCAGCATCTGTCTCTGGCGGGGCTACATGGCTGCTTCCTGAATCCGCCTACTCTCTCTCCCTCTCTCTCTCCCTCTCTCTGTCTCCCTCCCCCCCCTCTCCCTCTCTCTCTCCCTCTCTCTGTCTCCCTCCCCTCTCTCTCTCTCTCTCTCTCTCTCTCTCTCTCTCTATATATATATATATATATATATATATATATATATATACACATACACACACACACACACACACACACACAACATACTACCTGTGAAACAGAAAAAGAAATACTTGCATGCATCAAAGTTTGGGTTGATTTTGAAGAGAGTTAGTTGATCAAGGTAATGTTAAAGAAATACATAGCTTGTTGATAGAGTTTTGACTCAGCATGCACGAAGCTCTGTGTTTGAAGCCCTGGTATGATGAAACTCAGTTGTGATGGCAAATGCCTTTAATTCCAGTACTTAGAAGGTAAAGAATGAAGGATTGGATGTTCATCACTTTTGGAAGGAGATTTTATGAATTGTGTGTAAGGCATTGAATGCTAATAAGTTTTAATGTTTACAGATCCTAGTACAGCTCCTGTGATCCATGGTGTTGATGTTATGAACAGCACATTAGTTAAAGTGACCTGGTCATCAATTCCAAAGGAAACAGTACATGGGCTTCTGAGAGGATACCAGGTTGGTATCAGGTTGATATTTTTAAGTAATTTTTCATTTCATTTTCACTTCCTAAATGATACTGTTGAATTTGTTTCTTTCCTGAGATTTTTAACTGATTTGAAGAGGGCAACTGAGTATCTTTTACTATGGCTGTTATGTTAAAGCATTTGCATCTTCTTTGCAGATAAATTGGTGGAAAACCAAAAGTCTGCTGGATGGAAGGACACATCCCAAAGAAGTGAACATCCTAAGATTCTCAGGACAGCGAAACTCTGGAATGGTTCCATCCCTAGATGCCTTTAGTGAATATCACTTAACAGTCTTAGCTTACAATTCCAAAGGAGCTGGTCCAGAGAGTGAGCCCTATATATTTCAGACCCCAGAAGGAGGTGAGAATATGAAAAGAGCCATCTAGGCAAATTACCCAATGTCTCTGCTAAACATTCGCTTCATTATTGACACTTAACGTGAAGCTCAGAGGACTTCATATCTTGGTTTCTATTAATGTGTTATCTCAAGGGAATTTTTTGTTTGTTTTTCTAGAAATTCATTAGTTTATGAATGCCCATTTATGATCTTGTGTTTTCTAGTACCTGAACAGCCAAGTTTTCTCAAGGTCATCAAAGTTGATAGAGACACTGCCACTTTATCCTGGGGACTTCCTAAGAAACTAAATGGAAATTTAACTGGTTACCTTTTACAATACCAGATAAGTAAGTACAGAATTGAATTAGATTTAATCTACTGAAGATTCAGTTTTTGTTCAAGAAATTGGGTTGCTACACAATGAGCAGTATTCCCTAAAGTGCAAGGAACAGTAAAATAAAAGTAAGCAACAACCTCTGTGTGTTTCAATAAGAAACCTTTTTTTATTGGAGCATGGTTATGTTCACCAATTTACATATTACCTATAGCCGTTTTCTCACAAGAATAGCAACTGTGAACTAGGGCAACAGAGTTTGCATTTTCTCATAGTACTAACTATTCACATTTTATATTTACAAAAGGTCTGTGGACTTCTATTTTGTAATTAAAACAGTGATTACTAAGGAAAGTGTATGTACCATCTATTTGTGAGTAGCTTTGAGAATTATGAAACTTGCCAGGGGGCAGAGTTAGTGAATAATGTAATGGAGATTCAAAGTATATTCATAGCATCATAATAAGACTGACTCATTCCAAGGAAATTGAATGATTCCATTCTCAAGCTTAAATATATTTATCTGGGTAGAACCCCCTATTGATAGCTTGCTAGTCAGGCAGGCCATGATGAGAGACTCAGAAAAATCTCTGCATACTTCTGTGACACTAGATTGAAAACAGTTAAACTTATTTAGAACTTCTTAAAGTCATAACATCTCCTACCTGATACAGTCATCAAATATAAACATGATTTCAGACTGAAAAGTGGAACTTCAGTCATATCTCAATGATAACACTTAACATCCATGAGTTGTTAAGTAGCCCACACACTGAACTCTAAGCCATTCCACCTACCCTATTCACAGAAACCAACCTAATTGTGGCCCTGGTGGATTACTCTGCTGTCTCTTGAGTTTTCACATCTGAGTCACATATGAGCTTTAGGTCCCATTGATTGCTGCTGTGCACTGCACACCCGTTTAATTAAATATGGATGAAATCCAAGAGAAGTTGTGGTTTTTACCACTAGTTTGCTTTGTAGTAAGTGCTTCTCTGTGCTGTTCCATGCAACCTTTGCAGAGCATGCTGTAGTGTACATCAGTCCTCTTTTATGGATGAAGGAATCAACACACATAGTCCACTGGTATTTGAAGGTCATACCACAATGTTAAGTGCTGGATTAGGATGAATACTCAAGTCTGTCATTGTCTAAATTTTGAGTTCTTAAGCCACACTCTTGCAAGGACCAATTTTTAAGACTTGACAGAACTGATATATTTTAAGAGTTTCAAATTTTTATTTTGTCCTATCTTTAAATTTGATTAAATTCAAACATTTTGTATGATCTGTCTGTAAGATTTAAATTTGATTTAAAAACTATTGCTCATAACACAGTAGTTGAAATATTAGTAATTATAATAGTCATTGTACTTCTTAAAATTCACTAATATTAAGTTATTTATTTCATTATTATTAATAAATGCAGGGCATATTTTATATAGTGTGCTTTTCCCTTCTTCTTCTCTGGTCTAATTAGTTGCCATTTGTATATTCCAGAGTGACATATACTTTCCCTCATTCTTGCATTGATTTTAGTAATTATTTTAATTGGCCTTGTAGTGTTTAATGGTGATAAAGTGACTAATATCTTTCCAGCTTTACAATGATTAGAATACTGCTTGGTTTCTTGATGTAACTGCATTATATAAAACAAGGAAGGCATTTTATGTAAATAAAACATTCTATTTTTATAAGTGCAGAGAGGATTTTTTGTAGCCTTTTTCTTACCATTGGTGTCTTCAGACCTTAAACATATCCCTACATAATTTCGCCTGTTTTGCATTTAGCATAGTGTTCGGGGCACAGTAGATACTTAAAAGCACTTAATTCATTTATCAGTTCAGTGGACCATTGATTCTCTCTATGCTGAGCTGAGAGAGCTCCCAACTTCCACTAAGTTAACTGCAAGGTTTGGATTTGTGAGGGCACAAATATGATGCACATTCAGTACACTGCACACTTTATTTTTTTAATTTGCTTATATTATCTTGCCAGTTCAGACAAGTTTATAATGAAATTTAATCCCTCTAATTCCTTATTATCCTGTTATACCCTTCCCTCTCCCACTGAATTCCTACTTCCCAAAATATCCCCTTCCTGCTCCCATGTCTTTTTACAGGTATGATCTACTGTATTTAATTAGAGTTGCTTGCATGAGCATGACAGGAGGTTATTTATGGAGAAAGGGCAACTTATCTGTGATTTCTCCATTGAATTAAGTGACACCCCTTCTCCCAGTCACCGCTGATTGTCAATATCCCCTCAGGGTAAAGTGGGATGCTCTTCCCTGCTGAGATATTGAGGGACACACCCTTGAGCTGGTAGTTCCAGTGAGTTCATCTTTTCAAAACATAGTATTTTAGCATAGCCAGTGAAGTGTACCTCTGAAAAAAAGTTGATTACCCCATTATATTATTATTATTGCCCCAATGGGTATATCTCAGCTGATAGATCAGAGTTATAGTTTGCAGGGTTCACAACTTGGTAAAAATGCTGATGAATTCTCTGCAAGCATCTGGTGTAGTCTTTTAATAGTTGCTGTAATAATAATAATTGCCTTTACCTGGAAAGAGCTGATAGTAATGAATAATGATGGAAACTTTTTCAGTAAATAGTAATGAAAGGACAAGTCACTGTAACTTCCATTGTGAAGAACTTTGAAGCACTAATTTTTATGCTTATTTCTTCAGTAAACGACACCTACGAGATTGGAGAATTAAATGAAATCAATGTTACTACTCCATCTAAATCTAGCTGGCGTCTCTCAAACCTCAATGCAACAACCAAATACAAGTTCTACTTGAAGGCATGCACCTCAAAAGGCTGTGGGAAGCCAATAAGTGAGGAAAGTGCCACACTGGGAGAAGGGAGTAAGTACATGATCTTTTGCATGCCGTGTTTTCATGCAACTGCACTAAAGTGCAGGTACCCAGTCTCTGTACCAAAATCTAAGTGACCCTCCATGCACCACCAACACAAATACAGAATTTACTGATCTGTTTATAAGGCTCACATTTGTTCATGGGTTTCTGAACAATAACTAATTATAACTTAATTTATATAAGGTCAGAAACATACTTCTAATTAAGTAAAATAAGTGAACATAGGCTCATAAAATTTCTCAGAAGGTTAGGAAAAGAATATTCTTCTTTGGAGAATATTTCTTTCTAAATATTGTCTTTTACTTTGGTAGATATTTAATAGAAAAAGAATCTAATATATGCCACTTTTATTACTTGACTCATAGTATATTAATTTATATATCAAGTTTGATTTTATTGTCTGGTAGTTCAAGCTAAGTAAGAGTTGAAAATGACTTATCAGTCTTTGATCTTACATGTAGCACAGTTATAATTAAATTACATTTCTATCTCTCCCTTAGATTATAATAGTATCCCTTAAATTTTTTTTCTCTAAGAAAATTTTAGGATTTTTTCTTACCCATTTATATATAATATCCTTAATGCATCAAGATTGAAAAAGGTTAAAGTAAAAGTAAAATGAATTCAGGAACTGATGTTCATATCAACAAGTTAAGAAAGGCGGACTCATATGGGGTTCAGAGTGCTCAGGCATAGGAGGGCTCAAGGGGAGAGAAAGGAGTTGATGAAAGCAGACAATAAGGGAAACAAAATCACTTACTCACAAATAGTTTACGGCAAATGTACTTATATTCTGAGTGGTTTTCTGAACTGTAGATTAGGAACACTGTGAAATCGATGGGAGAAATGCAGGGAATAGGAGAGTAGTTAGGTAGAAAACCAAATTGTGCAACATTTACTATGACACGATTGTGATTCCCTTAAGTGTGTGTATCACAACCATTCACTGTATTCCTGCTAAGCACTGTTACACTCTGAACTTTACTACAGGGTTCTTCCTGTAACTGTTTCCGTCTTTGGGTCCGTGTTTTCTCCTCTACACTTTAGTTGCTTTTTGAGAAAGAGTGTTTTCCAATAGCATCTCTCCCAAACCCATGAGTTCAGGACAAATCAGACACTGGATGAAATGAAGAACTCATTAATCTAGGAAAATGCTAGACTTCGAGATAATGACAATCGCTCCAGTTACTAAAGAAATTTATATTTCAAGGTTACAAACTGGCATCAAATGTTCAATTCACAGCAGTCCGAAGAATAGATAGTGATCTAAATACTCAGTTTCCATATTGTTCATACAAGATATCAAACCACAGAGACAGTTGCTGTATTGATAGAAGTGACAACTTAAAAATCAGGAGAAATATTAGTCCCATTCTTGACAATAAGGAGCATGAAAAAATCCAAAGGATTGCCTTAGCCTTGCTCCACATTCTTCTGCATATATTGGGAAACTGGGCTTTTCTGCATTCATGCTGAACAAACTTTCCTGGAGAGTGAAAATGTTGCTGGGTGGTTTCATAACTGATGTCTCATTTTGCTAATGTGCTTCAGTGTGTAAAGGAAGATTGCTTCACTATCCCTTGTTGGTTATTAAAATCTGCGCTACTAAGGTGTTTGTGTTCTTTTCCAGGCTTCTGAATTTTCAGTATTCCAGCTACTGCCCTTTCCTCTGTTGACACTGCTTTCTCTTCTATAGTCATATATTGCCATGTAGTAAATTATAGTAGCATTTCCATGAACTTCAACATAGTCTTTGAATATTATATAGTTCTACAGAGGAGATATATCTCAGCTTCCCTGAGAACTCTTAAACTGATAACAGTTAAAATTAGAATCTATTGCTACAGATATTTCTTCTCCCTCCTTCGACGAGGGAACACAAGTTAAGATTCTGGTATTGAAAGCAAGCTGTTTCCTTGTTCTCTCTCCAGTTTGAGGGTGTCTCTCTAATGAAAGAGGGGAAAAGCATGGACTTAGAATATGTTTTTGTGTCCTTATAGGTTTGAATAAATCACTTTGCATTTCTGTTTTCCAAAAGCTTGCACTAAATGATATACTAATATTTCTGATTTTTAAAGTAAGAATTCATTCCATTCTATTGCAGTAATCCATTCTAAAAGCTCAGCTCCTCTGTGTAACTGGCTTTATCTCTGTCATGGTACCATTTTCAGTGAATTCCTTTATTCTTTATTCAGTAGTCATATAATCAAGTTTAGTCTGTGATGAAAAGTTACAACCAGGTGCTTTTGTGTCCTATGCCCACTTAACAAAGAGTCTCATCATCCATCCTCCATTATATTCTCACCAGGGATCTTAATTCATCTCATGTGTAAATTGTTGGCACTTGTCAATTGACATTTTCTATGCTGAGTTGATTCCTAGAAAAAGATGAATTTAATGACAAAAGTATTTTATATGTTTAATTGCAAAATCAGAAATTAATGCATATTAATTAAACTGGACTCATTTTCATCTGTTTCTCTGAGGTTCAATGATTAACTTATTGACATGTTATTGAAAGTTTCTCTTGAAAAATTATTTATTTTTTCATACATGTACTAAATCTCAGTGAAACCATTTCATTTAAATGTACCTATAAACCTGCACTTAATCTAGCTGAAGACTCTAATTCAAAAAATACTTTCTATGTGAATGTGTTGTGATGCCATCTTACCAGAACATATTGAGATCATGGCAACACTATGCTTATACATTTAATAAAAACACAGTTAAAATCTTAATTCTATTTGTAATAATATGAAAATACGATATATTCATCTTCTCACTGGCTGTGAAAATTCAACTAATATGAAAATACCATAAAATTCAAAGGATTATTTTTGAGTCTGTGTTTGGTTTTGAGCCATTCCCATGAAGGCAGATTTATAGTACCATTTCATCAGCAAATGGCCATAAACGGATTTCATTGCATTTGTTTATTTACAGCATTTTAAGAGAAAAATCTTGAAATGTTAGTTTCTGAGTCCAGTCATGATTCAAGAACCATTAAAGATAAAAACTCCAAAATGATTTTTTTCATCTCGAAAAATGATATATATTTTTTACATTTCTCTCCTGCTTTCCAGTGATTGAAATCATATGACTTAACTGTGTACCTTTCTTAGGTAAAGGTATCAGGAAGATAACAGAAGGAGTAAATCTTACCCAAAAGATTCACCCTGTAGAGGTACTTGTGCCGGGAGCGGAACATATTGTTCACCTCATGACTAAGAACTGGGGTGATAACGATAGCATTTTTCAAGATGTAATTGAGACAAGAGGGAGAGGTGAGAAATGAGACTGTGTGGGCTATCGTCTTAGACAATTCACTATGTCCTGTGGATTAATTTTACATCTATATTATATTAGAAAGTATAGAGTGCACTAAATATAAAGGTCATAATTTCAATTTGTATTGGCATACAGAGTATTTCAAAAAGGAAATTATATCACAATAATCCCATGTTTCCCTTACTGGGTTTGCCACAGTAGTCACCTGAATGTGTATGATGCTAATTAACACCTGCCAATAACAGAAACTAAAGAAAATCGGAAGCAAACCAGAGCTCACAAAGGTGTCATGGTGATCTGCTTGTAACCCAGGCAATTTGTGCTATGGCTTGCTTGCTGCTGCTTCTGCATTTAACTTCACTATCCTTTCTGATTCTCATCTTCAGAGCTAAATGCAACCCTACAGAGCCTCTTCCCTAAGAAGGAAGGAATGATTTCCTAGTATCTCCCAACAAAATACCTTCAAATTACTTTATTTCCTTTGAGATCAAAGGAAAGATTATTTATTATTTTTAAAATGATATCTGATTGTGCCCCAATGTTACATAATATCAAGGACTGATTCTAGAGGTAGGTCAACCTTGTACCTTTCTCTATACAACAGAATATGCCGGCTTATATGATGACATCTCCACTCAAGGCTGGTTTATTGGACTGATGTGTGCAATCGCTCTTCTCACACTGATACTATTAACTATTTGCTTTGTGAAGAGGAACAAGGGTGGAAAGTATTCAGGTAAAACCATGGCTTAACATGATTTTCAACTTTGAATAGCATATACTGTGAATCAATATATGGGAACTATTTTATAAAAATTATGTGGATAAAGTTTATAGTGTATTAGCTTTGAAATATACTAAAGGAGAATATTTTGATTAAACAGTCAAAGGAAATATGCATAGTATATCATGCTAGCTTTTAGTAGCTGTTTGAGTTGATTGGCCTGGAATTCTCTAGGTAGACTAGGGTGGCTTTGAACTCATAGAGATCCATATGTGCCTCTGCCTTCTAACTGCTAAGATAAAGGTCTGTGCCACTATGCCTGATTGTTTTAGTATTTAATAGAGACTGTATGGGCTAGGGTGATAGTTCAGTGGTTTAAAGTACTTACTTAACATTTTGAGTTTGGTTCCAGGCAACCATATTGAGCAGTTCACAGTAGCTTGTAATTCCAGCTTCAGGAGTCTCACGCCTCTGGTCTTTTCAAGCACCTGCACGTAAACAAACACACACATATACATAAATCAAGTGAAATTAATCTTTTTAACAAAATATTTTTATTGATTATTTGGGAATTTCACCTCATGCACTCCTAGAGCACAGCCTCTTCCTAGTCCTCCCATGTCTGCTCCCTGACCCTTAGGACTTCCCCCAACAACAAAAAGGAAGTTCAGTTTTTGTTGCCCATATGCTCAGTGAAGCATGGTTGAACGCCCAGTGGCCCATCATGTAAAGAAAGCTGAGACCTTCCCCATCCACACCCCTGCCAGAAGCCATCAGCTGTGGAGAGCTATACCTCAGCATCCTTATCACTATTTTCTTTTGTGGTGATATCAATAGCTTCATGTTCATGGTTGTGGAAGAGGGACATAGAAGACTTCTGTGACAATACCTTTCCACACCCCAGCTCCTAAGATGAAATGAAACTTCAAGATAAAAACATTAAACTAGGTTCTTAAGGATCATAATGCTTATAAACTTATGTTTTCTGTTCATAGATATATCAGACACAGAGAAGGTATATTATTAAATCACACATATACTTTAATACCTTACAAAGGAGCTCATTTATTTATGGCATGCCTTTACTTCTTTCTCTACACCTGGCTCTGGTGTTCTGTGTGGTTCTTGTAGAACTCCTCCACTCCCCAGCTTTGTTCGAGATCACCATTGCATTGCAGAGGGTGCATTTCCTATTACTGTACTGTACTGGGTAACTTTTATTGAGTGTACTGCTTCTTGAAATGTTAATAATATATTGGATAAAAATAAAATCATTCTAGTTGTTAACTTGTTTGTTTTTTATATAAATTATATTCAACTTGCTATTTTACGTATACATTGTTGCTGGGTTTTTTTTTTGTCCTGTTCATTGTGCTTTACAAAAGGAGAAAGATTAAACTCCTGCATCTCTTGGCTTACGGTACTCAGATCTATAAATTGTTCTTTATTGACTCCTGGTTCACCAAGCAAATGTTTACTGAGAATCTGTCATATACATAAAACCATGAAGAACATAACATACATTTTCCTAAAATAGCATGTCTAATTGGCACAGCTGTCCATTTCCATTTTTCTCTGAAATCTAGCTAGTATCAAATATGTTCACAATGACTAATGGATATTCCAGGTCATTCATTAGACACTTTGAAGAGAGACAGCTTTTTAATTATCTTTTTGAAAGTAAGGCTTATGAAATATGAACCTATATGTGCTCTGAAGCCCTCCCTCAATTCAGACCCTTTGAAAACAATAGCAACAACTTTTTGTATTGGAGGACAGCTAAGGGTATGCACAGGTGAATAGCATCTTAAAGGAAACTTGTTTCTGTTTTTAAAGGTAAGAGAATCAAGAACCAATCTCATATCTCAGTGTTTCAAATGAAACTAAACTACTTTTAGTATGGAGGAGTCTGCACATTTTCCAGTGTGGCTATGCATGTGGAGTCCAGAGACTGACATTCATTATCGTGCTCAATCATCTCCACCTTATTTTTTTAACACAGGGTTTCTCATTAACTTGAAGCTTACAAATTTAGCTAGACGGATTTAGTCAGCAAGCCTCAGAAATCTTCCTGTACCCTCCTCCCCATAATGCAGCTAAAGCTGGTTGCCATCAAGTCTGCCATTTTCATGCAGGTGCTGGAATAAAACAGGTCTTCAAACATGTTTGACAGACACTTTATATAAGCTAAATCATCCCTACAGTCTCTCATGTAATTATATACTTAGAAGGCTTTGGTAGCCCTGATTATTTTTGTTATTAAGGTAGTTTTGATTAAAATATTGATAGAGAACACCATAATGATTGATTTTTTTGAGAGAGCATTAAACTGGTTTCATGACTTAGGTCATTAAGAGCCTATTAAATCTTCAAATAGTTTGGAGAAAAAATAAATTTTATGTTCATGGACACAATGATCTAAGCTTGACTCTCTTCATAGGACAAGTTCCCATTTGATATGGGGGAATGACATGAAAGTCTACAAGGTGCTTAAGAGCAGAAATTAAAACCCAGGAAATTATTTCTGTTTTCAGATTAAATAAAAAGCAACTGATACATTATACCTGTTGCTCAATAAGCTAATAATACTGGCATAAAAACTTGGGGTAATCAATGTGTTTTTATAACCTGCCTTTCAGCAGCCAAGCTGACAGGTCTTTCCAATAGTTTTGATGTTAAACTACTTTCAATTTTCTGTTTCAGTAAAAGAGAAGGAAGATTTACACCCAGATCCAGAAGTTCAGTCAGCAAAAGATGAGACTTTTGGTGAATACAGGTAAATGTAACTTTGTATATCATGATCAGTTGAAAGACTTCCATCAGGTTTGTCAAGTGGAGAACGTTCTTTGTTTTTAACTCAAGTAATGGAACTACAACACACTGATTTTATAAAAGGAATTTTACCAATGGTTTCTTTACCCCATCTCTGTCCCCATTCCCTTTCTTCCTTCCTGCCTCCCCCCTCCCTGCCTCCCTCCCTCCCTTCCTTTCTTCCTTCTTTCCTTCCTCTTTTCCTAAATTAGTACTTAAAGCATGGAGTCACTGATACCTGTTTGAAGAGTATTATTCAGTGTATGAGTTCAATCAGGCAGGGACAACACAGCAAGAAGTCTAGTACAACAGCCAAATTCTCCAGTTACACATCTCTGCCTCACCCTGTGCCCATTATATTTCTTAGCTTTCTTTCTTGAATTATCACCATTCCTTAGTCAGATCATCTCTACTATCTCTATTGTAGCAAGAAAATTACCATCAATTTTGGACTTATATTGATGTTATTATATATGATTCAAGAATCTCTACCAATTAAGAGACCTAGCTGGCTCTCACTGACTCAGCTCTGAATCTGTCTGCATGGCCAGGGATGTGGGGTACTCGCCTCTACTCTCCTGTTGCGGCAAGAAAAATACTATAAAGTTTGTACTTATATTGATGTAATTATATATGATTCAAGAATCTCTACCAAATAAGAAATCTAGCTGGCTCTCACTGGCTCAGCTCGAAATCTCTCTGCATGGCCATGGATGTGGGGTACTTTGAGTAGTTGACCTGGAGTAACTAATACAGATCTGAGCATCACTATGCCTCTGCTGGTCTCTATGTGCATCACTTCCCTTTCTGCTGATTGGGTGCCTTCTTTTATGCTTTTATGTTTTTTGTCAAGAAGATCAGAGGAGAGAAAGACAGGGGTGGCTGTAAGGAAAAAGAAAGAAAGAAAGAAAGGAAGAAAGAAAGAAAGAAAGACAGAAAGAAAGAAAAGAGAAAGGTGTAAGGGAAGGAAGGAAAAAACAGGAGAGTAAAAAGAAAAAGAATGTTAGCTTGGGAAAGTTGTGGTCAGTGCTGTTTTACTGATTGGAATATTCGTCCTGATTATATCTGAAATGTAAAACTTAGGATCATAATTGAGTATTATCTCAATGCCCATGCAAAATGAAGCCAGGTATGTGCTTCTGGTGTATGATCTTCAGGAGACAGGCTTTTGACAAGAATTGTGGTCTCACCTGAAGTTTTGGCTGACAGTAGATCTGCTTCCTTATGTGTGTGTTGCCAGAGCTTGGTTACATCCAGACCTAGGGGTTAAGAACTTCAGATTTTGGCAAGCCAAAGTCATCCTCAATTCCATGCCACGTGGACTTATCTCCAGGATACTTAGTAATATCTAGCTTTAGGCGAGGCAGAAACACCAGATTGAGTACCCAAGAGGCAATTCATAGTATGTTGATACCCCAATCTTAGAACTTACATCTCATTGCTCTAGTCTATTCTATTTATTGGAGGTTCAGCACACATTTAAAGGGAAGACTTTACACAATTGCTCACATTCCTTTTGAACAGGGACCGCTGAGGTCTGAGGACAACTGTTCACAAACATTTTTATGAAGGGAAACAAAACAAAACAAACCCCTGAATCTATTCCTTGTCCATAAGCTTATTTGTCTACACTCTGCAGCTTCTCTGAAAGGATTGGTCATTTTGTTTCCCTATATCATTTACAGTTACAGCCTTTCAAACAGTCAGTATGTTTTCTGGCATTTTATTCCAAAACTTAATATTCATCAGGAATTTTTGTCTTTTTAATTTTTCATGAACTTTCTTATGTGCTTTGCCCTTAGATATATGTTTATATTACTCGTTATCTGGCCCCAAAGTCAATGCCACAATTTTTTTATTTTTATTTTTAGAATCTCAGTGTCCTCATTCTGAAACCTGTTACCATACCACACAGATATCTTGATTTATGCTGATGTCAAACACAGATACCCAAACGTTCCTTTCCCAATAGTGTGTCAAACACAGATGGTTCTTGTCATCTAGTCACTTAGGAACTGGTATTTAAAACTTTTTTTTTTAATTTTTAAAATCAGATATATAAAGGGCATAATTTCGTAAATATTTTGTGGCTTCAGGATTGCTTCTCATAATGAGTAAAACACACATCAGATATCATATTAATAGTATTCACAATGATTGATATTTTCTTTTAGAACTTATTATTTCACAATTCCTATGTATATATAGTACTTTGTTCACACTTGCCCATTATCTTATCTTACTTTCTTATCTTTTGAGCTCAAGTCCTTAGTCTTCCTAACAAGTGCTTTTCCTACTTTGCTGTGTACTCTCTCCCTTTCTCCCTCTGTGTCAAATAGATAGACAGACAGATAGGTAGGTGGGTAGGTAGGGCTGGGACCTAATTTAATCAGGGTACTTTTAATAATTTTAATTGAAAATTTTATAAGAAACTAAATTTGGTTGGTTATACTAAACAAAAGAGAAGGATACAGGAGTTTATATGACCAAAATAAGAGCTAAAAGATCAAAACCCAAGGCCAAGAGCAACAAGAGTGCATAAAGCAAGGAAAGCAACACTTGTCTTCTGCCCTGAGACTACTGAATAGCGACCGCTTGTGGCATAATTAGGTGACTTCTAAACAACAGAATATTTCTCACAGTCCTGGGACTGGGCAGTGAGATCCAAGTCAGGACAGGATGAGTGTGTGCTGAGTTAACCATCTCACTTATGGATGCCCGTTTCTCCTGTTCTGCCCTGGAAACTGCAAAGCTGCTTTCTGGAGGCCCTTTCACTAGGGCAAATCCCTTTCATGAGGACTGTTCTGTGACTGCTAATCTCCAGTGAGCCCACACACCGTTGTTATCATACTTGGGTAAAGCAGTTTAGCATGTGAATTCAGGGAGCGCACAGGTAACCAACCACACTATAGCCTCAATATGAATCAGCATGTTGCATCTTCATGTCCCAAAGCAGGCCCTCAATTAAAAGGGAAACACAGGTGTGAAAAAAGCAGAAAAGTGTTCCTCAGTCACGCAGAATAAAGAAAACTAGTTATGGCTTTTACAATACTTACTTATTGATGTGTCATTTCAGCTGCATTTCCCTGTCATTTGTGTTAATATGAACAAGTTGAAAATTATCGAACCCGTTAGCACTTGTGAAAGAGTCTTGCTACTGTATGTGCCTGTGAATCTGAGCTCCCGGGGAATGGCTCTGTTTTGTTTTCCAGTGACAGTGATGAAAAACCTCTCAAAGGGAGCCTTCGGTCCTTGAATAGGAACATGCAGCCCACAGAGAGTGCTGACAGCTTAGTGGAGTACGGAGAGGGAGACCACTCCATATTCAATGAAGATGGATCTTTTATTGGCGCCTACACCGGAGCTAAGGAGAAAGGGTCTGTTGAAAGCAACGGAAGTTCGACCGCCACGTTCCCACTCCGGGCCTAGACACAGCACACGCACCACCACTGGCTAACACACTCCTCCCCAGTCTCTTCCGGGGAGCAAAATCTTTTACAGAGGAGTGGAAACACGTGTCCGGAGGCTGACATTCTGACATTCTGCAATTTTGCTGAGAAAAATAGCCCTGCCTTCAAAAAGAAAAAAAAAAAAAAGTCAGATGCCAAACACTTCAGGCCTGTGTTTCGTTTATGGTTTTGGTTTCGGGTGCTCAAAATGCAGAACACAAAACAAATCCTGTACTTAGATCCACTTTGACTGAATCCAAAGTTCCTCTTTTGCATATTCCAGGTCTGCCTGGTTCTCCTGTTCAGTGTGTGTGCATTAATGTTGCTAACTGTGTGGGTTTCTCTGGATACACAGTTGTATTTAGTTTTTAAGAACTGTTTTAGTGACTTTGATTCACTACAGGTTAAAAGATTGTAAGCAAGTAAGCAGGTTATTTAAAATGTAAAAAGGAATATGAATGTCTTATTAAACACTTCATGGAATCTATACAGTCTGAAGTTATTATTTAAAATTTAGTAGTAAAGGTCTTAGATGATCATGCAACTTGTATTTATTGAGCTCCTAACTATTTGCCCAGAGGCTACCATTTTTATGCAGAGTTACAATGTTTTCAATTTCTGAATGATTGTCTTCAATTTCCATCGGTGTGGTAACTCTGTATCTATCTATCTATCTATCTATCAATCATCTATCTAATTTTCTTCCTTACTTTCTTCCTTCCTTTCTTTCTTTTTTCCTTCCTTTCTTCCTTTCTTTTTTTATTTTTTAACTTGAACTAACTGGAGCTGCAGAAGATCAGAGGTTATTTTAAAAAGAGAAAGAAGATGTTGATGATTGTATTTTGTATCTTCATTTGTATGTTCACAGCATTCAGCCTTTATGTTTATAGACTGGTTCCCTTGGATATGTTTTATGAATGCCTTGTACATATTATATTAATATTTACACATAGTGTTTTATTTTGAAGTGAGAAAGAGAACATTAATAAGCATGATTGTACAGCTAAAGTGTATATAGTAGGATGCTGTTTTCATCCTTCAGGGGCTAACCCAGCATTCCAGATTCAAGATTACATGAATAATTGGATTCTATTCTTATATTTCTCTCCTTCACATGCTCTCAAAATAAAATAGCCTATAACGATAGAGGGAAATACATTCATATTGTTCAAAATAAGTTTTGGAGTGGATTCCTGCCCCAGTCTCCAGCAAATAAAATTATTTACAGTAGAAAATCTTATGTACCTGTTAGTTTATATCATATTGTAAATGTATCTGTGGTGGTGTCATCATTTTTAATGTTTTCATTTTGTCATAGTTAGTACAGGGTCAGGGAATTTAGTTTCCGTCATGTGGGCTACCAGTCCATCTAAAATGGTACGGAAGTTTTAGAGTGTTTTAGAAATACCTTGAAGAACTCTGCGCACATATAAGTAAATAATGGATGCTAACACTCTCGTGTAATGGAAACTTTTAACCTCACCATGAAATTATTAACTGTGTTGTGATACAGTTCAGAGATTTAACTTTACTTTGTGTAATTACTGGCATATCCTTACTGTTTAGTCTTCATGTTTAATTGATATGATGTGCTATGTTGCTTTGGGGTTAAAATCATGGATAGGAAAATGACCAATGCAGTAATGTACACAAAACATACTTTTTTAATCTCATGTCTCTTCTAGAATGCATAGGTAGGAAAAACCTGTTTTCTCAAAATCATGGATCTCAATGTTTAGCTACTTTCCTGGAAATAGTAAAAGAAAGGGGGCAGATATCTTTATTCTCTACCTGCATGAGTGTGTAAGGATCTACACATCCACTGTGTGAACTGATCCCCAGCGCCATCTGATGACTAAGGCACAGATTGCTGGAGGAGCCTCTGTTGTGTGCCATTTTAGGTGGGGGGCTGTGGAACTGAGCTGCACAGAAAATTAATTACGCTGTTATTCTGCCTCCTTCTCCTTATCATCATTCAAAATGTAGTTTGGAAAGGGTTGTATGGGTTGATAATAATAACCAACAATGTAGAACTGTTTCATTAAAAATTTAATAATCTTTAAGTCTAATGTTGGTGCAAATACTTACATTTTTATTCCAAATGACGGTTGAAGAAAATGAGATTGTGCTATAACCCCTTTTGCTAGCTTCTGTGAACTTCTAAATACTATTTGGTTTCATTCTGTTGTACATCTTCCGTAGAGCAAGACAAGATCCTTGGAGTCCTTTGATTTTAATTGTAGAATTGGATTATTCAGTGTGCTCAAATGAAAACACATCCAGTAGGTTAAAGTGGATTTAATTCTTTTTTTCTCTTAAACAGTGAGTGTCAGACTCTGTGATGTGCAATGCTGATTACCATTGGGCAATAATTATTTGGGAAATCCTCCCCCCCCCCCCTGAGTTTTAAGGCAGCTGCTAATATATACAACTTTGTTCTTAACTGGTTTTGCAGTAACTTTCTGTAGTCTACTGACAGTATGATTTTAATGTAAGTGATTGTATATAACCTCCAGGATTGTGGATGGGGATAAGTTCAGAAAGAACTGTTTGAGGGTCAGGGAAATCTGTGTTCTCTTCCAGGTTCCAGCACTGACTATACATAAAAACCTTAGGCATATTGCTGAACTGCTTTAACTTCAAACTGTGCTACAAAAGTGCTAATGTTTGCTGTCACAGGGTGTTCTTTTGTACTAAGAAAACTTACGAATGATAATCTAAGATGCCTTTTAACTTCATGACCCAACCTGTAATCAAATTAAGTATCAAAAACTCACCCCCACATACACCAACTCAATTTTCCCCCTCTAAGCACATAAATATATTTTTATAGAAAACAGATCTACAGAAAATAAACTAAATCTTGCTGTTAAGTGTGGAGTACGATTTGCATATGCCATTGAAAATTAATAATCGGAAGAAAACTAAGCAGGGTCTTTGCTATACAAAAGTGTTTCCCACTCATTTTTGCATGCATATTTGTAAGATGTGAAATCAGTAGATTTATTCTCTTGGTATAAAGGCATCTGATATTTTAGATGTACCCATGTTTATAGAAAACTGTAGAGCACAATGGACTTAATGCTATTTTCTACTCATGGAAGAGATAGAGGACAATAAGGAGAGATGTCGGCTGCTTTTCTAAGTATTTAAAACATTTTTGCCAATCGAAAACCTAAATATGTTTACATGCCATGAAGGCGTAATTCTCGTAACAACTTTAAATTGGTTGTAGTACTGGTTTGTGGTCTGTGGTAGTAGATGTATCCTAGTGTTCCTATAGTGAGGTAAGTAGGGCTGGGCCAAAGCTACTTTGATTTGTCTTCAACTGACTGCATCGTCAAAGAGACAAAAAGTACAGAGGGCAGGCTCATCTGGTTAGCTTTTCTGTTCTCACATAGATTAATGTTCACAGTAGATCTTTATTCGCGTGCGTTTGTGTTGTAGATGGTGTTTGTATTATGCTTATGGATATTTGTGGTTCAATACTATTTTCATTAAACATGAAATTCAGCTTTCAAATAAAAGTTTGACTTCGTGTACTCTAAAGACGTCTGTGTCCCTTTCTATCTAATTAAAAGCAGAATTTACATTGCAAGCTTAAACTTGGTTCCTACTAATTCTGAAACTATAAATAAAGCATAAATTAGTTAAGTTTGAAGAAAAAGAATAAGTGAAATATTTTATTTGTATCACTGTGTTTACAGAAAGACTACTTGATGTCAACAAGGGCTAGAAAATACACCAACTTCACAGTTACAATGAATGCAAATTAACATGTATATATTTTCGGTTGGCTTATTTTTCAGGAAAAAATGTAGCAATGTGTCATTTTAATAACATGTGGTATCCTTTATCTTCAAAGTGGATAAAAGTTAAAATTGACATATTCTTATAAAGATGGGATGCCCAATTTTCTGAGTATTTTGATATTTAAAATATTTTGCTATGTACCTTATACAACTTACGGCAGTTTATCTAAAAATTTCCTTTTTCATTTTGTACACTAGAGAACAAGGAAGTTGGTAAGTCAGTTAATATTACACAGTCATTCAGGCCAAGAAATTACTCCTAGGGCCATTTGAGTCCCAGACCTCTAATTTTTATACTGGTCTGTGTTTTTATTTTCTCACCCCTTCACATTCTCTTAGAAATGCTTAACGAAGGTGCATTGAACTTACTGTGACCTGCTGAGCATGGAGACAAATGACTTGGTTTAAAATATTTTGAGAAGACTTGGAAGAGGGGGAAAAGGAATGTTAATAAGTGAGTGTGGGCATCCTAAAACATAGTAGGCATTCAGAAAAATCAGTGGTTTGCAAGAGAATTGGGAATACCAGGTTCCACTGATACTGCTTAGGACTTGAAAAAGAAGCTCCTCCCAGGATGGATATCCTCCGGAGCTGTCTAGAATGCTTTGAGTTGGTATTTGTGTTACACTATTAGAAACAAAAATCTACAACGGGGCCTCTTCCTTCCTTTGCTTTTCACATTTGCTTTCTTGTAAAATATCACACAGAGATTTTTAAACCATATGTTGTTGGACTCACAGGTTGGTTCACGGTGTCCCACTTATGGAGAGCCCTTATGGAAAAGTCGGCTTTAAATCAGACAAGTACTACTTCTTAATGCCACTCAGTGTGTTGTGTTGCTGAGCAATCGGAGCTATAAACATGTGTGCATCCTCCTTACAAGACATACATAAGCTGAGCAAGCTAAATATGTTTCCTGAAAGAAACATTAAATACTAAATGATGTACTGTACAGCAAATAAATATATAGCTACTTTTGGGAGAGAGGATAATGTTTATTGGCTTGCCTATGAATAACAGAATGTAAAATTTAAAGTTTGCCAAAGTGAATATATATATATGTATGTATATACATACATACATATATATATATACACATATATCATGAATTCTGTAGAAAACAATATGATCAAAAATATTTTGAAAATGCTGATACAAAATAATGAAACTGATGTATTTTATACATTACTAAGTGCTGAGAGTATGGTATCCAAACATATGGGAGCCAAGATTTATTTTGCAGATTCACTCAAAGGCTTTTCTCATTGTAGTATCCATCTAAAATTTCTTGTCCATCTGAGAGTTTGATGGCCATGTGCAGACAGATGACTTCGCCTTCCTTTTAGCTTAGTGCTCTTCTACACTGCAACATGTTTACACGTGACTTTTTCCATGAGAAGTACATTTCACATACAAAAAGGAAGGCTTCACTTTCCCTTCCAAACCTGAGAGTGCTGACACTGGTCGGTGCCCTGCCTTTCCAGGCTCTGCTGCTGTTGCTGCCATGAGTCTCCTGGATCCCCCTTCTCCACACCCTGAGCACCTTAGCTGGACACCTCCTTGCTATTTTTTTTTATCTGCTCCTGTTCCCCTTCTCTCTACCATCCTCAGAAGCAGATTTTTGTTTAAAGATATTTTTATGTTTTATTTATATATGTGTCTGTGTGAGTGTATGGCACATGCGTGCAGGTACCCACAGAGGTCATGTGAAGGTGTTTGATACCATGGAGCTAGAGTTAAAGGCACTTATGAGTCATAGATATGAGTGCTGGGAACCAATCTCAAGTCTTCCCGAAGAGCTGAAAGTGCTCTTAGCCATTGAGGCATCTCTCCAGCTCAAAAGGTGATTATAAAGGTAGGTACAAATCAGCGTACAGTGTTCCTTTACTACGAACATGGGTAAACAGAATGGGTAGCTATTTTGTTATTTAAAAAACAGAAATCGTCCATTAACTTTTCAAGTCTGTACATAATTCTTAGGTTCCTTATTTTCCTTCCTTTCTCTCTTCAAACTAATTCTGAGAATTGTATCAACCACTACCACTGCTTTCCCGCTTTGGAATCTCTAGTCCTCCATCATCTCTTGCCAGTCTCTACTAAAGTAAGGAACTGTGCAAAGACTGTTATGCAAATTACTTAGGACTTACCTTGCCTGGGACAATTCCTCGATATGATGACCTAAGATGCAATAAAGCTGCCGAAAGACCATGCTACTCAGTCCAGAAGTATTAAGAAGTTAATACCTAATATGCCATCCGTTTGCCTACTGTAGAAATGGACATTGTAGATGAAGTTCTTCAACATTATCTCCTACCCTGCTTTCTTGTCCCTTCCCTTATTTGGCATGATTTTGAGGGAAATAGCAATTCCAATAGTGGTGACTCAGTCATGACCTTCTTTTGGATCTGTATCTTTCCCCTAATGAGGGCTGCATAGGCTTACACTCAGTGGTAAATAAGTATTTCATAAAGGGGTAACTGCATGTTCTGCCATTAGAATCTCAGGCTAATCCTTCTGCCCTTTATCAGCTCTTGATGTCCAAATTCGTTCCTATCTAAAGACATTGAAATATCTCCTTTTCTCTCAACAGATTCAATAATCTGTTTACTGAATATAATTTCTTTAGGGAAGCCTTCTAAGACTTTCAAAACTAGGTCAAATTTTATTTTAGGACACGCAACCTCTCTTATTTATTATTAAAAATTTTGTGGTTTTAATTTACCTCTTTTGATATTTGAATACCATCTTTTCCTTCTGTAAGTTTAGAAACTCCACAGATTCAGGAGATTCATTCTCCTTTTCATTGGAAATACCACCCAAATAGCGCAATGCTTCTTATCTGATGGACAGTCATTCAATGTCTGCTACACAGAAGGAATCTGAAGAAGCAGAGACAATAATTACAAACTATGAAATACCTCTGAGATAATTTCATATATTTACATGGAAGCAAGCTGTGTGTAATCCTGGCTGCTTTGATCCTGGTTGTTCTAAAGTAAGGCAAATGTTTCCATCGCCCATCCGGGAGCTCAAAACAGGCAACTCAAGAAGCATGAATGGACAGGTCAGAAGATGGAAAGGAGTACTCTAGGAGGATGGCCTCTGGACATGCATGACTTTTACACACATTGCCCACAGCAGCTACGGTTACCTTCACAAACCAGTCAATTTCAGCAAAGAAGGAGGGGGAACTCCCAAGGTCCCAACCGTAGCTGAGAAACTGTTGGGAGTTTAGGGCTTCTGGTGAAAACTGAGTCAGCTTTGTTTTTTCTTATTTTTTAAATATTTTTTAAAATTAATTCTTTGAGCCTGGCGGTGGTGGCGCATGCCTTTAATCCCAGCACTCGGGAGGCAGAGGCAGGCTGATCCCTCTGAGTTTGAAGCCAGCCTGGTCTACAAGAGCTAGTTCCAGTACAGGAACCAAAAGCTACAGAGAAACCCTGTCTCGAAAATCCAAGAAAAGAAAAAGGAAAAAAAAAATAATTCTTTGAGAACTTCACATCATGTAATAATAATCCAAATCTGTACTCCTCCATTGTAGGCCCCTCAAAAGAAAAGATAAAAAAGCCAATGATTTTTTCTTTTTTTAAATAAGAGGTACAAGGGAGTAACTGCTGAGCGAGTGAGCCAGAGCCAGAGACTGCTGAGGGTCCTGATGTGAATGTGGCACCTTCAAGGGCATAGACCTAAGCCAGGACCCCTGTGGGCCTGGGCCTGAGTCTAGGACCTCAGAGGAACTAGGCCTGAGCCAGGACCTCTAACCCGTCAAGGCATGAATCTGGGACCTCCGAGGGAATAGGCAGGAACCAGATATCTCTGTGGGTCCAGGTGTGAGTCTGGGACCTCAGAAGGTGTAGGCCTGAGCCATGACTATGTGGGCATAGTCAAGGGGGAGATTCCTGATCATGCTGACACCAACTGGTTCCACTCCTAGGCAGAGTTACCACAGCTGTGTGGGGATAAGCTGGACTACCTCCCTCCCTAGTCCCTCAGGGGGCAGCTGTCGGCACCCAGGTCAGACTATTAAACAGAAACAAAAAACAACTCAGTTCAATGACAACAAAGACAGGGAAACCCTGATTGCTTTTTGGCTAATCCGCAGCCCTGGTCACCCGTGTAGCTGGACTCGCATGTATTTCTGTGTGCGTTTGCATGTGCTCTTGTGTGGGTTAGCTAAGGCCAGGCTAAGAACTCTAGGAGACAGATGGTTAGGCCCTGGAGGGCAGCACCAAAGCCCCAGTGCTGAATGTTCTGAAGACACTGAAGTCAGGGCTGGAATTGATGCTGGGGAAATAAATCCCTGTGGGTGACTAGAGAAGCCGTGGGCCTGTTAAGGAGAGTGACTCTATCCCTTTCTGCCTTTCCTCAATTCTCTGAGTTCCTGCCAGTCTAGAGGACAGACCACTTAGAACATCCTGAAGCTTCTGTACTTGGAAGACATGAGAAAGTGTGCCACCTTGTGGAGACATGTGGTATTTCTCCCTGAATTTCTGGTCTATCAAAAATAAAAGAGGAAAAAGGGCTTTCTTAACCATGGGGCATATAGTGTCAAACATTTGCAAACACTAAGCCATATACAATGACCCTTTTGGAGGGGTGCAATGCTTTATTTGAGTGCATCGTAATACACAGTCATTTCAGAGGCACAAGAGCAACTTGCTGTGGGTATCAGCTGGTAAGAGGAGCAGAAGTCTGAAGCGGCCATTTCCATTCCAGAAAGGGTAAAGACTCCACTGG